ACTTGTACCCCCTAAATCTATTAAAGAAAAATTAGTATGAATCATACATCAATATGGAAAATATTATGACAATAATAGTGTGTAACAAGTCAGATATGTAATTAAATAAAACTATGTAAAATTATGTGTCTTTGGAAAAACCAAAGAACACATCCTGCACTAAAATAGCTTGATGTGCTAAATTGTTTGATTTGAGACTTTGTATTTGGATTTTATATTGCATGATAGTACTTTTACAACTTGTAAAATATTAGCAGAATCCTGGAGGTGTATGAGGGAATAGTGGGCAGGATGTAGAGGTCAAGCACCTCTACAGTGAGTCTGCTTATTCCATAAACTTGGGAGCATGAGGTGTCTTCTAAAACAGGGTTTCTTTTACCATTGACAGTCTGACTTGGTAGTTCTTTGTTGTAAGAGGCTATACTGTGCATACTGTGCATTGTAGGATGTGGTCCCCAACATTTTTGTTACCTGGTACCAGTTTCATGGAAGACAATTTTTCCACAGACTAAGGGTAGGAGAAGGTATGGTTTTAGGATGATTCAAGTACATTATATTTCTTGTGCATTTTATTTCTATTTTATTATTACACTGTAATATATAATGAAATAATCATATAATTCATAATAATGCAGAATCAGTGGGAGCCCTGAGCTTGTTTTCCTGCACATAGATGGTCCCATCTGTGGGTGATGTGAGACAGTAATACCCCAAGGGTGTTGCTTATGTCCTCAACTCCCCCTCAGATCTTTAGGCATTAGAATCTCATAAGGAGTGTTCAACCAAGATCCCTGGCATGTGCAGTTCACAGCAGGGTTCCCTCCTATGGGAATCTAATGTTGGTACTGATCTGACAGGGAGCAGAGCTCAAGCAGTGATATGAGTGATGGGGAGCGGCTGTAAATACAGACAAAGCTTTGCTTGCTTACCTCCCACTCACCTCCTGCTGTGTGACTCAGGTCTAGATGCAAGGAGCCCTTTCCAGCTATGAAAATAAAAAATGTTTCTAGACATTGCGCTATGTTTCCCGGGGTGGGATAGAGAGAGCACAAACAACACCTTCAGGTGAGCTTGCATCAGGTGATACTAAATACACTTTCAGCTCTATTATCCAAAGAATGATTCAGAATCAAAGATGCATTGCCTTTTTTAAAGCTGCTTTGTAGAACAGAATAAGATTAAAGTTTAAAAACAAAAAAAACCAATTAAAAACAAAACAAATTTACAAATTTCTTTGAATACAGCTACAACCTAGTCTGAAGGGGAAACTGTTGGTTCTCATTTCTTAATGAATTCAATGAAAAGAACATGAGTTAAAGCTATACTAAGTCCTAGGGCTGCTTAAAGCTAGGAGCAAGCTCTAGGCTAAGTTTGAGTTGGTATTTAACATTTATTACAAATATTCTGAAGGTAGACTAGCTATATTGTAAGTGTTGGTTAACACAGCATCTTTGATGAAAGTGCTAAGCTCACCCAGGATCAACAATTGTGATTTAATGAAAATACCCATTTTTTTCTTTACATAGTTCCAAAGAACAAAGTGCACCCCATTATAAGTAATCAGTAGGAGATGCTATTGCAAAGGCTTTTTATATGACAGATGTCATGGTAAAAATGCCCATTGTAAATAATTTCTACATATTTGGATCTTAAACATGGTTTGTCAGATAAATAGTTAATGGCCTGAGGTTCTTGGAAACATGAATTCTCATTTCTTTTCTGTGATACTAGATACTCAATTGCTTTTAGCTCCATAGAGAACACAGACCAAATCAGGCACACTAAAGCAACAGGATGTATGGGGTTCTGAAACCTACACTGGAATTACCTGAGCTGTTTGTTAAACCCCAAATTACTGAGCCCCACTTCTAGAATTTGATTCAATTTCTGACAATTGAAAATCTGCATTTCTAACAAATGATCCCTAGTGATGCTGATGCTGCTCGTGTAGGGACCACACTTTGAGACCACTGGGATAGTTGATTTCAAAGTTGAGAATATATGAAAATCACCTATGGTGGTAAAAAAGCTAGTAGCTTTATCCTTCCTATTTGTACTCCTAAATATAAAGCAGTAGTTCTGAGGAGGGCTAAGGAATCTGTGCTTATAATACACTTTCCTGATATGGGTTGCCCTTAGGATGCTATAAGGAATGGAGAGGGCCCAGAAAGGTGATAGAATTAATAATGAAGTCAATTCAAATCAGAGCAGGTGAGAACAAGCTGAAGGAGAGACATAGGACAATAGTCAGTGGTTATGCTTCTTGTTAAAGAAGGTGATACACATTTCTCCGCCAGCCCGCAAGACTCTGGGAACCATAAATTTCTTAAATGTAAGTTAAGATTTCAGACTTTCCCCAAGCCTCTCAATTCAAGGGCAGAAAGATCAGCTATCAGCTGTAAAAAATACATTATAAATGAGTAACAAACACAGCATATGCTGGTGCTTATGAAACTTATCAACCTTTTATTTGTGCAATACATCTGGAACTTATCAAAGCTCATCTCCAAATGACTGAATAAAATATCTGAACCACAATTTACCCTCCAGAAGGATGGCACATGTTACAGAAAGGTCTCAGCAGAGTTTGGCAACTTGCTGAAGATGATTTTAAAAGGAAAGAAACAAGAAAGAGGGAACGAGAAAAGAAGGAGCTAGGAGGAAGTGGAAGGGAAAGAGGAAGGGAGGGGAGAGAAGGAAGCGCAGGGAAGGAAGGAATAGCACAAAGTTCCTAGCAAACACTTAAGATCTAAGACTCAGATTTATTTTAGAGGAATATATATATATATCTCCATAGATCTGAAGTGCTCACACACTGTGTTTCCAGGCTACCACAACCTAACATAATCATTCACAGACATCCCAGGATACTTCAACTCATGCAGGAGGGCCTGGATGGGGTGGGATGTACTCTTGTCCTGCTAGAATTAGGAACAATTATTTCTTCAGCCATATTGGACCTTACTCAAGAATCCTGATTCTCAGATATCTGAAAAACCAAATGAAAAGTCTTTCATTTACTACTGAACAATGGTCATAAACATTGAGTTCAAAGATGAGTTTCCTTCCTCCCTTCCTTCTTCCTTTCTAATACTAGCCATATCCATCTTTCTTTCACACTTCTGAATTATGGGACCTTAGAATGTTTACATTGAACAAAGCTATCACAAATGACAATCTGACATTCTAACACTCAGCCAAAACATCGATCCTGTTCTTCTTTTTAAACCAAACCATAATATATTCCCGTGCCTTGAGGGCTGTTGTAATTCCCATATCATTAAAGTGAACACCCAAAATGAACAACATCCATAAAAAAGAACAAATCTTTAATTCTCTTCTGAAGGCTGTGTCTATATGAGAATTAAAAAGTGTTCTAACTAAAGAAACTATACACTTCAATGCCTTAATGCCATGGTACTACATACATCCCACTTTACTGCATTACTTCTTTAAGCTAAGATGCTTGTTTTTCAACTAAGCAATTAATTAACTTTTTAAATTCTGAATTGTAGCTTCTACAAAGGTAAGCTTAGCTGCTTTAAAGATAAGGTTTGAATATTTGGATTTCAGAAATAGTTAATGGGGACATGAGGTGTTGAATCCAAGGAAAGGAAAATTTATCCAAGGAAACGTCTAAGGATCAATATTGTAGTACAAAATTGGCCCGTTTCCTTTTTTTTTCCTTCTTTCTTTTTTATTTTTTTTTAGATTTTTTTTATTAAATCATAGCTATGTACATTAATGCAATCATGGGGTACAGTGTGGTGTTTTCATATACATTTTGAAATACTCTCATCAAACTAGTTAACGTAGCCTTCATGTCATTTTCTTAGTTGTTGAGTTAAGACATTCATACTCTGCTTTTAGAAAGATTCACTTGTACCCTTGTAGGATAAACCATAGAGGTGACTCCTCCAATCACCCTCCCTCTACCCAACCACCCCCCTCCCCTCTCCCACCTCCTTCCCATATTCTAAGGCTATAATTAGTTTATAACATTCCTATGAATGCTATAAATTAGTTTCAAAATAGGACTGTGTACATCAGATACTTTTTCTTCCATTCTTGAGATACTTTGCTAAGAAGAACATTTTCCAGTTCCATCCATGGCCCCTGTTTCTTTATACTTGAATATTATAGCTACATACATGATATTATTGTCACAATGCTTAAAATGCTAGCATTCTGACCAAATAAGCATTTTGGAAGATTCTAGATGCATAGGTGAAAAAGGTGACTCGTCTGTTTGGAATTTCATACTTTTTAATGAAGATACAGACATAATGCTCCTATGTATCTGATTTTTTTGAAACTATTAAATCTTTACTAAAGTTACTGCTTTGGCATTAAAATGTATAGCATACCAGGGATGTCCAACTTTTTAGTTTTCTGCTTCAAGTTAGAAGAATAAGAACTGTCTTGGGCCACACATTAAATACACAGACACTAACAAAAGCTAATAAGAAAAAGAATAGGTCTGGTCCACATATACTTTTCAGATATCCGACACCACAGATAAGAAAAACACTCTTCAAATAATCTGCATGAGGCCTATGGGCCTCAGATTGAGTACACTGGGGGAGTTTATAATAATTAAATCCTTTTACGTTATCACAAATTCTGGGGCACTGGCCAGGCCAGCTTTTAAAAGTCATTTGAATCTCTCTTTTGCTCTGATGTTCTCTATATTTCATATTTCTATGTCATACTAACATTCTAATTCTTGGATTCTGGAAAAACCTTAAGTGTGGTGAAAATACTATGTGCCAGGGACATCAGGGACATTTCTGAGAGAGCTTTTACCAGTGATCTCTCTAGGGCCTGTCACCGTTTACTTCTTCAATTTCAATAAAAGCAGAAGTTGCATCCATCATCTTGACCTTGAAACAAATAATTGCTTTAGGTACTAGCCTTAATTTATTTGATTATCTACTAGTGCTAAAAAATGAGGAGCCAAGCTCATTAAAAAGTTCCATCATGACTTTTCATTTCCTTACCAGAAGTGAGACTTGCAATGTCTACAGATTTCTGATGATTTTCATAATTGTTCACTAATTTCTGTGGCCCAGACATATGGTTTTGCAGGTAAAGCAAGTGGCCACTTCCAGGGTCCTCTAACATAATAGATGTGTCTCTCCCAGCATTTAGTTCCCGGCCAATGAAGTCGTTCTCATTCTCTCCTGAAGAAACTTCAAATGTTTCCACAGTAAATCTAAAAGGAAAAAAAAAAAAAAAAACCCGAAAGTTTTAGGTGGACCTAGATAACTTTAGAGAAGGCAAATAAAACATCCCAGAATTTTAACATAGTTATTTAATTATTTCCTAATAGAAAAACTATTGTGTGGTGAAAATCTGAATTCATCTCAACCAAATAATTCATTAAGATTCATTATATATTATTTTTAAAACTCAAGTAAAAAGCTTTGGCCCTTTGCTTGCAAGAAAATAAATAACTCTAATAAATAAAAAAATTCTGTGTATCCTTCCTTCCCTCACATCTGCTTAGAGTCTATGAAGTAGCACTTTGAAAATTAAAAAACAAATGTCTGATTTATGCAGTTTTAGAAAAATGACAAGAAACTCATAGGCTATTTAGAACAATCTCCTTCTATCTCAGATTGATGCCAATCACTGTAGGAAATACAGAAAATAGGCATTTAATTTACCAAGCACTGTCCTAAGAAAAATAAGACTATACGTGTATAAAACATATCCCATCAATATCAGTGCTTCCTAAAATGGTGTCTATATTTACATTCTAGGCAGGTTAAGGGTTCTCTGTGCCATTTAAGAATTTTGTGTTATTTAGCTGATTTTAGAAACCATATTCCATAGAATTTTATTCTTGATTATGCAATTTTATGCAATTTCAATGTCTATGTTTGCATTTGTGTCTGATGCCGATGTTTGGTACCCAGTACCACTACCCTAACTACTGGGAGTTAGTGAGGAAAGGAAAAGTCAGAGGTGATACACAAATAATATGCTCACAGTGAAACTAAGTGATATCATAACACACTGTGCAGATAACTTTGCAGTAGTGAAGGTAAAGTATGAGGTAAAGCATCAAGTCATCATGCAACAGAGCAGGTAGGTGGAACATAGAGGAAGCTCTGCAGCACGTACCATATTTTATGTGTTTTACCAATATGTACATTTGGGGGGATAGAACTTCCATTTGACAAAGGAAAATAATCCATTACATTTGAGTCAAAATTTTTTTCTTAATGACTTTGTTCAAATTGGATACACTAACTTGTTTTGGTTTAATAGCTGTCTAAGAACTATGAGCATATGGTATTTATAGCTAGATTTATATTTGTACATATTTCAATAACATTACGGGTTTTTATTTATTTTTTTTTTTTGCAGTTTTTGGCCAGCGCTGGGTTTGACCTGCCACCTCTGGCATGTGGGGCCGGTGCCCTACTCCTTTGAGCCACAGGCATCACCCTAACATTACAGTATTTTATCTGTAATTCTGTAAGAACTGATTTTCCTTTAAGTGAATTTATAATTTATTCAAGGTTGGGAAACACCTCTTCCCATAACAGTAGTACCAAACTGCCTTTCAGAAGGGGTTGGCTGCTAAACTACCAAGTAAATGAAAGAGGACCCTAGAAAGACATGCACTTGCATGGATTCTGAGGACATTTTCACCTTACCATTTTGCTTCTGGATGTATGTAAGAGGCCTTATCTGTTCTGAGAAGGTCTTTTGCTTAATGGCAATTTGAGAAGATGGGGTAATCATGGGCCTAAATCTGGGCTTTCCCTTTCCTGCTTTCAGAGATTCAAGTTTGGTGGAATATATAGAGAAGCAGAAAACAAGCACTATGGCCACTCTCCCCCTGAGGGTTAAGCGTCATTCAAATTAATTATTTTTAAGATTAGTTAGGATATAATATTATGAAAAATTATTTACAGGTGCAGTTATATTGTGGAGTCTTTTATGCTATTTGGGGGAATGAAAAAATAAATTATATGTTGCCTTGGACTTCAGCAAAATAAGACATTAGGGTAAACTACAGTAAGGACCCCAGAAGAGTTACAAAATGATACTAAAAAAAAGTATACTATGGATTTTTGTGAGAGTAAAGATCAGCTTCAAATAAGAGAAGCTTTCAATGTGGGCCATGAAAGATGGGCAGCATTTCACTGGAAGGAACAGGGTCCCAGGCAGTGTGATCAGAGACCCAGGGGGGTGAAATAATTCACATAAGGCAGATAAGAGTCTAGAGAGGCCAGAACTCAGTGCCTCGTGGTAGGGGGAATAAACGCGAAGTGAAGTTGAAGGAGAGATGTGTGTTCTATTCTGGGGTAGATTTCAATATCGGAATTTCTGAGGAAACCATGAATTTGTTGCCAAAATTATAATAAAGCCCATAATGTTATCAAATCATCAAACCAGAAAGCATGCTTGATATGTAACTTCTGCTACAGAAAATGGAATATGGAAATATCCTGTAATTCAGAGACCTTGTTACCGTATTGAACCTAATAACCTGTTAGGTTATATACCCCTCAACCAATTAGCAGTCACTTGTAAGTGTAAGAGCTTTCCAACTCACTGGAGGCCGCCATTTTGATTATCTTCTCCATCTGAAGTAATGAGTCTACAGGCATTCTCAAGCATTGGTGGTGGGTACTGATTGAATCCTCCTATTGAGAAAAAAAGTTATAGCTAAATTTTAAAAGCAAAAGTTGTATTTTCTTTTCTTTCTTTCTTTTCTTTTCTTTTCTTTTTTTTTTTTTTTTGAGACACCCTTGGTAGAGTGCTATGGCATCACAGCTCACAGCAACCTCCAGCTCTTGGGCATAGGCGATTCTCTTGCCTCAGCATCCTAAGTAGCTGGGACTACAGGCATTGCCATAACACCCAGCTATTTTTTGTTGCAATTTGGCTGGGGCTGGGTTTGAACCCACCACCCTCGGTATATGGGGCCTATACCCTACTCACTGACCCACAGGTGCCACCCTAAATGTTGTATTTTCTAAATAAAGAGAATTTTAGTAGAAATTCTCTTGAAACAATAAATATCACTAACATATTTTAGCAAAATTTGGCTGGGATAAAAATAAAATAGTATCAACTAGAAATAGTATTTAAAACCTGATTTCAGAGTGTTATAGAAGCCAAAGAATTACCAGGGTATGGAAACAGACTTCCCAAATTGCTTATCCAAGGGTTAATTGCAATGTGGGGACATATGATTTCCATGTACTTAGGCTAACATAATCTAAGAGATAATTTATTCTGAGTTTCTAAACCTTTTTCACTCAGACTTATGCTACTGGATCAAACATAGACAAGGTAATATTGTATTACACAATGTTCTTTCTGTGTTTCTGTACCCATTAATATTGACTTTCTACAAGGAAAACAATCACAGACAATATTTTAGCTTACTAGTCTAAATGACATGTTCTTTTATCCGCCTCCCGTACATTGTTCTGTACATTTTGAAATATTGAGAAGTACATCATTTTTCTGCTCATTCAGGAGAATAGTTTTTAGTTAAAGGAAACCAACCATTGAATGATCCAAGATTCTATGAAAATATCTTAGAGAATGTCTGTAGTTTTATAATAATCACATTTCTCTGATTCTAAGATGAGCATTTTTTTTCTTTTTTTCTATTTCTCTAAATTGAAAATATGTCTTCTGATCAACCGCATCTGATACTTGTTGTTGATTAGGCAGGAACTGTGATGCAGTGGTCTTTGTCTCTGCATATGAGAGCAGTAAACATACTATCACCAAAAAATTCCCAGATGTATCAGTAGAGGAGTCTTTCAACTCCTATGAACCAAATGGTTGTGGAAGGTAGTGAATTGGATATGTTTAACAGCATTGCTCAGGTGGAAATTAAGAGTAAGCCAGCTGTACATAATTGCAAAGCCACTTAAGAGCATAGAGTGACCAGCTGTGAGTTATGTTATACTCTTAGAAAATGTTGTGTTATCATCCACTTGGATAGCACAAAGAACAACATTGTGTAGAAAAGGATGGATATTCATGACTCTGGGTCAAAGGGTAGCTCACCAGAGTCAAATTCTGAATGAGGAAACATTTTAGCAATAGCTTAACCCATCTATTTCATGCATATTTCTTCTTTGTGCATGCATAGGAATGACATATGGTAATACACCTATAAAAGAACTCTTTCGACTAATATAAAATTCTCTAATAGAGAATTGGTATCAAAATTTAACTGGAAGCATTTTTTCTCCCAGTTTACATCATACAATTGAGGGTATTTAAAGAAATAAAATAACATAGTATTCCCAAGAGGGCAATTATTTGAATATTTTAATTGAATATGAGTCACAGGAAAAAACTGGAGTTCTCCCTGCAATGAAGAGTGAACTCTCAAGATGTTATCACTGTGGTGGTGTTGGGAGATCACATAAATAACAGGAAAACTTGGGGGCCATAGGGTGGTGGGATTGGTTCTAGCAGAATCTAGCTCCAAACTTGCCAGATTCCCGAGAAAGAAAAGGATCAGCTCTGATTCTGTGGGATCTTCTGGAGCAGGGTTTCTCAACCACAGTGCTATTAACACTTTAGGCTGGAATATTTTTTCTTATGCCAGAGGAGGGTCTTTCCTGTGAATTGTAGAATGCTTAGCAAAATCTGGCCTCCACTTATTTGATGCTAATGGCACTCCAAACTTGTGGCAACCAAAAAATGTCTCCAGACATTTCTAAATATCCCCTGGGGGCAAAATCCCCCCTGGTTGAGAACGATTGCTCTGGAACAGTGTTTTCTCAAACCATTCACAGTAACTGTAATTTTATTTCTAGTCTTTTGCAGACTGATACTTTTGGTCTGAATCCTGTTTAGTGAGACAGAATCCACTGATCATATACTTGTATACTGTAGCAATATCAAATTGTCTTACAAATTTCTAGATGCTTACTCTCAATTCTATATTTATCTCTTTACAGATCAATCTGTAGGCCAGCACCCATTCAATGAGAGACCCTCTGTGGTGCATTGGCCTATAGCCATACTATTCAGACTGTGAGCTCTGAACCAGCAAACAGTATTAACATCACCACAGCACTTGTTAGAAGTGCAGGATCTTGGGCTTCACCCTGGACATACTAAATCAGAACCTACATTTTAACAAGATTCCTAGGTGATCTGTACCCTCAGACTCTTCAGGAGAGCAGGATTTTGCTATCTTTACTCTCACATAAATCTTCAGGGTATTCCAATGTTAGAAATAAACCAGGTTTGATAGCAGGTTAAACCTTTATTTAAATGTTCATCCTGGGGACCACCTGCTAGAACTTCTTCAGGTTCAGCAAGTAAGATCCAGGAGTCCTCTAGTCACTGTGCTTTCTAGTACTGAGTTTTTTGCTAAGAGACACTCTACCATAACAAAGTTCTCACCATTCTGTGACCAGGATAGAAATAGGGTATATGCAGGATATGTTCCATCCCTGCCCCCTTCTCACCATCTAATTCACATACTACTATTTAGGTCAGCTGTAGATACAAAAACATGTTAAGTTAGCAATACTATTTACAGACACCAGATTATTCAAACAAACAGAATAACTTACGTCTGACTGTGTATATAAATGGTTTTAAGAACTTTACAATATAATCCAGATCTGGTTTATGTATTCTCCCAAGCTGTATCACATGGTGATCAACTGGGTGGCTGGCTAACTCCTCCACATCATCCTTACGTGCAGAGCCCAGTGAAATCACAAAGATGACATAACCTTGACACTTGGCCCTCAGAGCCATCTTCTCTAAGAATTCCCTTCTCTCATGGTTTTCTCCAGCTGAGATCACAAAAATGACCTTGTGCTTTCTTAGGTGGGGGGTTCCTGGGAAGAGATTTTTCATAGTCCACAGTAGGGCATGACCAATTGTGGCTTCTCCATTTAGCTGTTGTAGGGAATTCTGGATGTGTCTCTTCATTAGGACTTTGTCACTATAAGTTGTAAACTCAAACTCTGTTTTGATTGTACCTTGTGTTCTCCTAGAGCCATCCCAAGGAGAATAGCTCAACAAGGCAATCCTATCACCAGAACCTGAGATTAAAGGGTCTGAAGCGATGTCGAAGTCATCAATCACTGAGCTCACCAAGGCTTTCACAGCCTTAAACTCATCATTAACTATATTCCGAGAATTGTCCAGGAGGAAGGCTACATCCATGTATGAATTTTCAGGTATGAAAATCTCTTGAGTGCAAGTATTTGGAAAACATTTATCTGAAAATACATAGACAAATTATTGGTTCAACAATAACACAAGACACTTGTTTGAGATTTAGTCATTAATTACCAAAAATTAATAATCTGATTAATACATCTTAAATCTCACATAATTTAATGATAAATGTTCACTGTCCCAATATTTCTATGGCCACTAGCAGATAATTGAAAAGGTCTTTGTTGAGTGCAGATTAGGCAGTATGTACCTAGTTATGTCCAAATTCAATCAGAAAATATATCCAATATCTTAGAGATTTTGATACAAATGACTCAATTGCCCCCAGGAACCACCACATCAATTGAGATAATATTCTAAACCAATTTTTACAGTTTATGGATGCTCCAAACATTAGAGACTGAAACTATGACATGTGATGTGGGAAAACTAGAAAATTGAAAATAGAACCTACAATTAAAAATAGCAATCTCTGAGAAAGCCAGACTGAATAACACAAGAAGGCATCTAAGCTTTTCAGCACAGTAAATTCTGCTCTTTGGTCTTACCATAGCAAAGTGTACAGAGACGAAGTCTTTCTATTGTTTCATCTGCCCCATTTGAAGGAACTGGAATCACCTGAAATGTCCCAGTGTTGTCAAACTGCATTGAAAAAGAAGCAGATGCACGTTTGCTCATTTTCTTTAGTCATTATCAGGAAGCCATTATTCACCCACTTTAAAGGTTAGTTTGAAAAATGCCCAACTAATCACTATTGCCTTGCATTATAGTTCTCTGCTCCATCCAGTGCTATACACACACACACACACTCTTATCTTAAATATAATCCCAAATGTACAATGGCTGTCTGGAAAGTATTTAGCCGTGTTATATTTTACTGTTATATTAACACTGTCTATATAGAACAAGTATTGGCATCTTTATAATGAGAGAAATATCACAGGATAACCTGACAAGATCTACTCACTGGGTCGAGTATTTGAATTTTTACACACTTCTAATTGTACAGCAGATGATCATATATCAAACACCACCATCTGAAGTTGGGCCCTGCAGAAGTTTTACATTCACAGGTCTTTTTAGGGATTGATTCCAACTATTTCTCCAGTCCACTCCATCCAGAAGACGTCTCAACATTCAGATGTCAAGGGGACCTTCCTAGACACCAATTCCAACTAAACATCTATTTCAAAATGTAGTAGCCAGATGCACTATGTTTATTCAAAATTCTTGGTGGTACACGGCCTGATTTCATGTTTCTTGATTTTTTATCCTGTAATACTCATATCAGAATGGCATTCATTCATTCAGTGAGTCAATGACTCTTTATTGGGCATTTATTCTGTGTGAGGCACCACGCAAAACAGACAACTTTTATTATGAGGAAAGAATTCTGCCATTCCCAAGTGGTGATGAGGCTATCTGTCTATCTGCTCATGTTTTTTTTTTTTTTTTTTACATTAGCAAATTAAAGGGCTAGAAAAGTCACACCTCTATTTTTCTGTAAAGTGCAGAGTGAGCATTTGAAATATTTATAATCATTCCAGACTTATGATTAGAATATACTACAGTCCTACTCTCTACTTTTATTAAGTTGGATGCTTTGAGTGTTATTTTGTGTTTGACCTTTTTAGTCCCTCGTAGAAAGACTAAATGTTGCCTTGGTAAACCAAGGAAGTTTATTCACAATTTATTCATGCTGTTCATTCATTCATTCAACAAATATTCACTGAATGTCTGCAATGTTGTAAGGATAGTCCTAGGTTCTGCGAATATAGAAATGAACAAAACAGACAAAAAAAATTCTATCTTATATTCCATCGAGGGCAGAGAACCATAAACATAAGAAAGATTTAAGTTATTTAGTATGTTGGGAAGTGATAATTTTTATAGAAAAAACAAAGCAGGGTAATAGGGATGAGAAATGTTAGAGAAACATTTTAACAGAATCCATTGACAAAGTGACATTAAGCAACAATTCAAAGGAGGTGAGGGAAAAAGCCATATCTAGGAGAAAGGAGTTTCTGGCACAGGGACTAGTGAGGGCAAAGTTCTGGAGAGGCAAGGGCTGTGAATAGCTTGTGTGAGAATCAGTAGGGAGGACAGTGTGCCTGGGACGAAATGAGTGAGAAGAAGGGAAGGAGAAGTTGAGATTGAAGAGATACTAAGAGGGCTTGAGAAGTAGATAATTTAGAGCCTTTCAGCCCATTGTAAAGACCTTAGCTTTATGTGATAAATGAGAAACTGGGGGATTTGGTGCAAAGGAATAACCTGGTGGCTTGGGCTTTGATAGGATTACTCTGGCTGCTATGTTGAGATAGACTGTAGTGGGGCAAGAATGGATATAAGGACACTAAGGAAAAGGAAATTGCACAGTCCACGCAAGAAATAAGGCTGGTTTGGGTAAAGGTGTCCAAGGTGGGGGTGTTAAGAAGTGGTAAAAATCTGGGTATACTTTTTTTTTTTACTAGCAATACCAATGTTTATACTTAGAATAATGTTTAACACTAGTACTTAAATGAATACTGTACTTACTAATGAATACTAATATGCTTGGGTGTACGTCTATACACTTTAGTATGCAGAGGTATAAATACACACTTTGGTGTACACACACATGTAGATACTCACACAAAGTTAAGAATATTGGATGTAAGAAAAAGTGAGGAATCATCAATAACTGGGAGTAAAGATACGGAATTTTTAAGTAACCAAGATAGAAAAGGCTGTATGTTGAGCAAGCTTTAGGGAAAAAAAATCAAGAGTTTCATTTTGGACCTGGTAAATTTTAAAGTGAAAGTGTTGAACCTAGGGGCGATTTGGCTGCAACATCTGTCACCCCTTCGACTCCCAGGATTGATCCAGCTGGCTTGGTAATGTCCCCATCCTCCCTCCCAACTCCATGTGTATTCCTCCCGAAGCTGTGCACTTGGTTGAAGAGAACCACCTTCCCTGATAGAGGAGGACAGTTCTTCTGTCAAGGGTATGTCAGCAGCTATGGTCCCCTGCTAGGATCTCCAAACAAGCTCTCAAGGAAGTGTTGAGCAGCCTATTATGTATATGAACCAAGAGCTCAGGGACAGGGCCTGGATGGAAATGCAAATTCATATTTGAGGACATTTAAAACCCTGAGCCTGGATGAGGGCACCAAGAGATTGAGTGTAGGTAGAGAAGAAGGCCTACGAATGGACTGTGGGGAATGCCAACAGTCTGAGGCCAGGGAGGTGCAGAGGAATCAGAAAACTAGATTGAGAAGGGGTAATTCCTGAGGTAGGAGGAAAACCAAGAAAATAAGCTATACTGAAAGCCAGTGGAAAAAATATTTCAAAGAGAAGGGCAGGATCAACAGTGTTATATACTTCTAATGAATCAAGTGAGCTGAGGACTCAGAATCATGCATAAACATGAAGATCCCTGGAAATCTTGACAAGAGTAATTTTAAGAGAGTAGAAGGGACAAAAACGTGACTACGATTAGTTCTGGTAAGAATGTAAGGATAGGAACTGAAGGCAGCAAATACAGGCAATTTTTCCCCCTAGGAGATGGGAGTAATTCCAGGGAACCAAGAAATGAGGCAGTAATTGAAATAAAAAATTCGGTCAAGAAAGATTTTTTTTCCTTCCTGATAGGAATGATTAGTAAAAATCTAAAGGAAAAAAAAATCAATCTATAGTAGACAGAGGATCTCTTTCAACAATAATAAAATGAATAAAATAATACTGATAAGAAATTAAAAATAAACTAAACACACAAAAATAAAAATAACTGGCTCAGCACCTGTGGCTCAAAAGGCTACACCGCCACATACACCTGAGCTGGCAGATTTGAATCCAGCCCAGGCCCACCAAACAACAATGACGGCTGCAACCAAAGAATAGCCAGGCATTGTGGTGGGCGTCTGTAGTCCCAGCTACTTGGGAGGTGGAGGCAGGAGAATCACTTGAGCCCAGGAGTTGGAGGTTGCTGTGAGCTGTGATGCCACAGCACTCTACCCAGAGTGAGAGTGACAGCTGGAGGCTCTGTCTCAAAAAATAAATAAATAAATAAAAATAATGAAAATCTTTAGGAGAATGTGAGCACTAATAAAACTTTGTCCATTTTGTTCAACTTTATAAGAGGAAAGGTCATGGGCTAACATTAAAAAATAGATATTCTATAGAGAAAATCAGAGTTAAAGAGATTCATTCTCTCCTAAAACCTTAAAAATGTTTAGAAATTTCTTGAATTTCTTGAATTTCAGTGAAAAATTGCAAGTTTAAATTCTATTTGAGACAGGGTCCAGGATCCAATGGGAAGGCAAAGTATTTTAGAGTAGACTTGCCAAAAGAAGCAACGCAAAACACAAGTGAGACGAGGGATGTGAGGTGGCAGCTTCACAGAAGAATCAAAATGGGCAGCCAACATATGAAAAACTGCTTAACCTTATACAGAAATCTGATCAAAAGAACAATGGGATATTCTTATTTATCAATCAAATTAGCAAAAATTTTAAAAGCTCGATAGATAAAATCCAGGGATAAGTATGTAGGAAAACAGACACTGCCGGACGCCAAGAGTAGCAGCTCTACACTTTCACAGTTGGAAGTGGTGAGGACACAGTAAAGAGGACGGGGACGGGAGGGTGAAGAGGATGTCCTGAGTGGAGAAGGGTGTAGAGACAGGGAGGCATAAAGAATGACCGAAAGGGGTGTTGCTTAAGCATGGTGTACAGCCAGAACTAATGTGGGGGGTTATTTTTTCCTAAGAACTTACTCTGCAAGATGATGCAAATTAAAACCATTTGTTAATAAGGGTGACTGGAGGCTCTTTTCTGGTGGAGGGTCTGAGGGCTTTGGCATGGTCCTACCCGTGGTTAAGGATTGAACTTGATGTCCTACTGAGATGTTCTCCTATTGTAGAATTTAACGCAGCTCTCACAGCTGAACTATCACTCATTTCTACCCAAAGTTAAAGAGGCAGAAAAGAAAAACTGGAAATCATGAGATTTTGACCTCCTACAATGCTTTTTGTCAGGGTCTGTTGTAACTCTCCCTGTGGCTCCAACTTTCAAAACATTCTTGGATGTGTTAAGAGCAGATTCTTTCCACTGCTGTATAGAGATTCTTTCTCTTTTTACAATAGAAATTGTGTATTTGTATGAAAATAGACCTTTATGATCTCTTGAAGGACACGATGGCTTCATCCAGATCCAGAATAAAGTATTTCATGGAAAATCTGAATATACATAAAAGTGTTAGAACAATAGAGAAAGAGGTCTTTAAGGATTTTAGTGGGAAGAAGAGGGAAGCTCAATCTCTTGAGAATCTGTGGACCCAAAAGTGACAGAACCTCTTTTGGGAAAAGTGTTCATGCATATTAGATGTCTCACACAACTTCAGGGGTTCAATGATCCCTTGAACTTCACCTATCACAAGACCAGCTGTTCAGTGAGACACACTAACCAGATGACAAATCTGAGAAACCTCAGAACAGCAAAGGCTGGTAGAGCACCACATCCATGGCCCTCTGCATCAGATAGAACTAAGTTCAAACCTTGATCTTGCCCCTCAGTAGCTGTGCATGGTTGGCTAAGCTCCTAGAACTCTTTGGATCTCAATTTTTCCTCATTTTTAAGGAATAATAGCTGCATTCACCTTCAAGTACTGTGAGAATGTGTGAGTATGTATGCAGTGCCTGGCTTATAGCAGGTGCTGACCAAATGTGGTTGCTATTGTTAAGGACTGTTATTATTAGGTATTGGATCTCATGGGCACTGATAACAATATAGCTGTGAAAACTTCAAAAGGATTTTCGAGAGGCCACCACTCCCTTCTCACCCTACCACTACCATTATCTTAAAAATAAAGAAGTTGCCAAGAGAAATTCTTACTCCAAAAGCATCCTCGAGGAAAACTCTTTCATTGAAAGCAAGGACTGCTGGACTGATATCCAGGGCACTGAACTCCATGGTGCCTGTGAGGACAGAGGATCTACTGGCTGTTTGGCCATTGCTAAAAAACACAGCAACCCTCCTCATGTTGCCCCCTGCATATGTCCGCTTGAAAACGTTGCGGGCCATGAACCTCATTGCACTTCCAATGTCTCGGGCCTCCGTGCTCCTTTGATATTTTATTTGGGAAACCAGCTGGAGGAGCTGTTTCTTCCTGTGGTAGTCGGACCAACGGATGAGATAGCTGGTGCCCGAGTCATAGGAAACCACAGCAACTCTTGCTCCCATAGGACAGTTACTTTCTCTGATGTCAAGGTCATTGATAATGGAATTGATAATGTCCCTTGTTTTATTAAATCTCTGTTCTGTGATATCAGAGGACTGGTCCAGGGCAAACACCAGCTCTGTTGGATACGTCGGACACTTCTCTATAAAAGGGAAAAGGAGAAGTGTTCAGTTAATTCACTGGATCAAAACCTTCCCCACAGCCTTGACTCCCATGAAGTTGGTTCCCATGCAGGCAAAGCAGGTATTTCATCCAGCTCTAGAACTAGGGATACCCACATGCAAAGAAAGGAAAGGAATCTGTTGTGGAAATGTGAGACTATTACCTAAATGTAGAGTGTGAATATTTGGCTATATGATGCTTAGACTTCATAGCCCACTAGTAGTCAACTATCTAAAATGAAATTGGCAGGAGTCCCTGGGCTGGTAGAGCTGTCCTGTATCCTGGGGCAGTAGTTTCATAAATCTATGCATGTAGTAAAGCTGAGCATGCACACACAAAGGTAAATTCTACTATATATACATCTTTAATGAATAAATTATAGTTTATTGGAGATTTTGAATATCTGCTCTATGAATGATATAGTTGTAAGATTTTTCTCCGATTATGTAACAAATATTTGTTGAGTACCTGCCACGTGAAATGCAGGGAAAGATCATTATACTATAAAGTACAGGTTGGCTTTTATTCCTAAAGGGGACTCTCAGGATAAAGAGGCAGCTTCCAAAGAGGGGCTGTCTCTCAGGGGCTGAGAAAGGTGGGTTTTGAATAAAGGCCAGGATGGCAGAGGAAGGGAGTAGCACGAACCAAGAAAGGTTCGCAGTGAGTTATATAAACTGTCTGCAATTCCCAGCTCAACACTAATGACTTTATGATGACTAAACATTAGGAACCTTGTAGAGAATTTGCCCCATGTGTCAGACCTAACTTTTTTTTTTGGCCGGGGGGGATTTGAACCCACCACCTCTGGTATATGGGGCCGGCGCCCTACTACTTTGAGCCACAGGCACCGCCCTGAAACCTAACTTTTCAGTGTCCTTGTTAATGTCTGAACACAGGAATTTTTAAATAAGAATCTCCATCTGCTTAGGTTGTTTTATTATCCCAAATTTTCTTACACTCAAAGTATTCCATGTCCCAACCTCTGTTCTTAGTAACAGAAATATGAAAGTATTAACTTAGGGATGTGTTTTGAATCAAGGTATTTTACTTGATTATTTCAGTAATTTTAAAATATGAAAGCTAATAATGAACAATAGACTAGGAAAAATGTTGTATTCCTTATTTCTTAGGCCTATGCTAAAAATTTTTGGCAAAGTAGTTGAAAATATCTTTAAGACTGACCTAGCATCACAGGTTATCCTGGAGGGTGGCTACTAATTTCTATTTATTTTTATTCTTTCCCTCCCCCATTGCCTAGCAGGGTACCTGATACATTTAATCCAAATTCATACAGGTTTATTGAACACTTACTATGTGCAAGGAACTTTTTGCAGAATTAAGGTGAATGGTTCCAAACTTTGAGACAAGCTCAAAGATCTGAGGGTCTACTTCAGCAGGCCTTTAGGAGACCTGGAGCACTTGAAGTTAACATAGTCACTGGTCAATGGCCACTCATCCGAGGGCTCTAAGGCACCATGCAGCACCAATGGCTGTCCAGGCTCTGAAAAGATCTTCCGTGTCCCCAGGGCAGGTGAGGTTTACAGAGGCAATACTTGATGAGATGGACATGAGTGTGGATCAGAGGGAGGAAAGGGCACTCACATGTCCCAGAAGCTGGTGTCAAGTGGGTCAGCAGTAGATGGGGCAGCAGACTGCAGATCAGACAGAGAGCCCTGTTCACTGAAACCTCTACCCCCACCCAACACAAGGCCTTCTCTATGGAGAGACTGAATTGACCATTGACAAGTCCTAGATTGGACAGTAGTGTGAAGGGGTTGGGGGCTGAGGGTCTCCATCTGACAATTAGGGCACAACTGACATTGATAGTTATAGTCATAATCAAAAGATTACATGTGTCTGCATAGAAGGAAGATGTCTTTTTCCCCATGGAAGTAAGGGATTTTTTTTTTCAAACTGGTCTTGTCAGAACACAGTAATTATCTCAGCAAGAAACAGTATGGTAAGAATACTCACCTCTCCAACAAGCTATGAAAAGGAAAGAGAGAAGAATCTATTATAGTTTTGGAACACAGACTAAAAATAATTCTAAAAACAAAATTTCAACAAGGACTAAGATTTTATTTGGCTACAATTGCAAAGGAGGCTAATTCTCAAGTTATAAAAAGCTGAGGTTAAAGGATTGAGGAAGATGTCCACAGAATTTTATGAAATTATGAACCTTCCAGACCTTTTCCCCTTGTGAGCCACGACCAGTACACATTAGCAGAATTTAGGTTGAAACTTAACCACTGATTACTTGTCTTACAAACAAAATAGATGAGCCTCTGATTAAATGGCAAGATAGCTGAAATTCAATTTGTTGTATCTTTCTTCTTCGAGTCTTCTGAGAGTCATTCAACAACATAAGGCTGAAATATGGGGTCTTATTTTCTTCCCTGATGAATACCTTGGGAACCTCTATTTTCCTAGAACCATGGGGAGATTGCCAAATGAACTTTGTGTTTGATAAAAAATATAGTTCCTCTGAGTGATCTCTACCTCCAGAGAGAGGAAGGCAAAACAAACAAACAAAACACCCCAAGGGTTTCTCCTGGGCAAAATAGCATCTGGGTTTGCTACTGATTTACTCTGTAAACCTAAGAGAAATCATTCCAATTGTTAGTAAATCTTTAAGAAACCACAGGCCTGACAATTTCCATGTTCATTTCACTCAATTCCTAGGAAGCAAATGAGTCACTCCAATATAATAAAAGACATTATTAACTCTGGCAACAAACTGCCTCTTGGTCCTGCTGTCTCACAGCACCAACCCTATGAATACCTTTTGTTGGCCTTAATCCCATGGCCACTGACATGCTGACTGCCAGCAGACAGCACACATAACCCACAGCCTCCTCTGCATCTCAAGCTTAGCACAGATGCCTTTTTTTCTGACTAAGATCATTCAGTGGTAACTTCAAACCAGTCCACAAGGCTATAAGCACAGGCTGTAGAACACAGGACAAGTAGACACACCTGCTGGGCTTGAGGGGTGCCAATCTGGGGTAATTACTTGACCTCTCAGTTGTTTTGCACTTAATTGTGATGATAATGTGAGCTAATTCACATACCTTTGGAGTTGGTCTCTAAATGTTTCCCACATGCATTGCACTTCTTTTTTATTTTCTTATTTTTTTGAGACAGAATCTTACTTTGTTGCTCCTGGTAGAGTGCTGTGATATCACAGCTCACAGCAACCTCAAAGTCTTGGGCTTAAGTGATTCTCTTGCCTCAGCCTCCCGAGTAGCTGGGACTACAGACACCCACCACAATGCCTGGCTATTTTTAGAGATGAGGTCCCACTCTGGCTCAGGCTTGTCTCTAACCTGTGAGCTCAGGCGATCCACCCAACTCAGCCTCCCAAGTGCTAGGATTACAGACGTGAGCCACCACACCAGCCTGCATTGTACCTCTTTCCTGCATTGTACCTCTTGAACTAAGGCACTTTCGCTTTATCCATTCTCCACCTTTGATGTGATGTTCCTACAGTAGCCACTCTAGGCCGGCCTGTTACAGAGGCTTCTCCACCAGTGAACCCAGCCTACTGATTTCACAAAGCCACCCTGGGTTCATTCCCAAGTACACTCACCAACCATTGATGCTTTTGTCCCATGACACACAGATACTCACGACTATGTTTCCGCATGAACTGGATCAGATCACATTGCTATAAATTTTAAAAAGAAAGAGAAAAGAAACATGAGTACAGTGACCTCTGAGTAGTTGTGTTTATCTCCAAAAAAACAGGTTGAGTTTCCCTGATGAACAAGGAGATACATACAGAATACACAGGCTGCCCTGGCACGCCTTTAATGCCCTAGGAAAACAAAAACAAAGCAAGTAATTGGTATGTGAACTGGAGTCTTCAGTGATAAAACAAGAGAAAACAAAAAAATCTTCTTTATTGAGAGCACAGCTGGCAAGGAGTGCTTAAAGTATTCCTGAACCCAGTGGATTAATTACAGAGCACTTTCCCACTCACAGCAAGGGTATAAACTTTTTTGTTTCAGTGTTAGGTCAAGTAAGCAGATGTCTACCCCAAGTAAACTGAATTATATTTCTAAAGTGATAGAAAGTAATGAAACAAAAGTACTTCTTAAATATATTTGTATTAAAGATGCAAGACTTAGAAAAAGGCATTTCTATAAGAATGCTTAAAACTATAAATAATAGTCTTTCCAAAGGGTAGCTCTATGGAGAGGGATTTATTGAGAATTCAAGGGAACAGTTACATTACAAACCAAGGAGTCTAAAAACCAGAAGGTAAGATACAGCCTCTACATATGTGAAAGACCCAAAGATACTCACATAGCAAAATAGATATTGTATGAAAAAGAGCATACACCCTAAGCTCCTACGTGCTGACATGCTATGGAGCAGGGAATGCAAATACTGGGGTGAAGTGAATCAGGGAAGGCTTCCTGAAAAAAGTCAGTCTTCCTTTCTTAGCAACTTGATCGAGCTTTTCTCTTTTCCCCTTCTTACTTCCTTTTATCAGGATCAGGCTGCTTTTTGGTAGTGATTCTTACTATATTTGCACACACAGATTTTGGCGTGGTGGGGGGCAACTTATAATTGCTAATATGTATATTTTAGAAAAGCACTGTTACATGTTTATACATGTACAATTTCATTGACTCCCCCACCCCAGGAAGTTCAACCAGGGATGTCAACATAAAAACCTATGTTCTAAGTAACTGAAGTTACTTCTTCATTCATCCAACCATCCATCTACCCACCCAACCATCTAATAATCAGCTACACATCTGCTGAATGCTTAGGTGGCCTACTATATACTACTGATGTTAACCAGAACTGTTGCAGCAACCCTGATTGCACCCTTTGGGGATGTACAGATATAGATATAGATATAGATATAGATTTTTTACACAAATCAAGAAATTATGCCTCTTACTAAAAGATGCAGTCTTAATCTACCTTTTCTAAGTCATGGCAGAAAGCAGGAAAAATGTACAACCCTTTAAACCGAGAGATGACAGTCTCCGGTTAATAGGGTAGGTGGTCCACCTCTTACAGAGAATTAGAACCATACCCTGAAAGAGGGAGCTTAAGAATAACTTCAATTTGCATTTCCCTGATGATTAGAGACATTGAGCATTTTTATATGTTTGTTGGTCATTAGTCTATCTTCTTTCAAAAAGCTTTTGTACCCCCATAATATTCTGAAATTAAAAAAACAAAGAATAACTTCAAGAAAGTTCTTAAGCAGAGACTGAAGATCAAGAGCCTGAGACAAAGCAGCCATATTCCAATCCAGACCAGCTGGGCCAACCACAAGAGCAGGATGATGCAAGTTCCTCAGATTCCAAAAATGAGATATACCCAGAACAGAAGAGCTTAGCCCAGAGACTAAATTCTCACTCACATGACTAAGAATATTCATTCATTCCTTTATAAGAAAGAAAAAAAAATTATATCAGAGTATCTTCTATAATTTAGATGATCCTCATTCTACTGTGGATTCAGTCATCCACAAAACCATCCACAATTTTTTTTCTTTATAAAGTCTCAGGTTCAAGAACCCACACAAGTAATCAGAAGTCTTCATAAAACAGTCACAATGCACAAAAGAAAGGTAAACTTTTTACCCACTCTTTACACAATGCTGCCTGGGCCTCCTCCACAAAACGCAACTGCTGGCACTATTGAGTTCTCGCCTGGATGTGCTCGTTAGGGGAGACAGACATGTAACTAAACCATTACAACAGCACCAGAGGCACCAAAATGGGGAGGTGGTGTTTTGTTGGTGGGAGTTGTGCCTGACTCTGCCTGGAAATTCTTCCAGAGGTGCCCTTCCTTTTATAAAAGATTCAGAGTGGAAAGCTGTAGTTGTATTTCCAAATGTCTCTATGGTCTAAATTTTAAGGATAAGATGGCAACAATATGGTTTTGAGAAACTATCAGCCTGTTGTGCATGAGGAAACTTTGCTAGGGACACCTTTGTGAAGTTTATACAATCCCATTCCTATTTTTAAAACTTCAGTAACAAATCACAGTTAATAGCTAATATTTACATTGCACTCAATAGTTTATTAGAGTGATCTGATCCTTATGTTTACCTTTTGAGGTAATTAGGAATCCCCATTTAGAAATAAACTGAAAGAACCAGTGACTGGCCCAAGGACATATAGCCAGGAAGAAGCAGAAGCTGGACTTGAACTCAGTGCTTTCTGACTTTAAACTCTGAACCCTTTCCACCAAACTTCCCAGAAACCAGTATACCCTACTTAGTTCTCATGTCTCAACACAAACTTACTCTCCGTCCAGGAGGGCCTTGGTGTCCTCGAGATCCCTCTTCACCTTTCAAGCCTACAGTGAGCTGCAGATAGAAACTTACATTAGTTTGAACATTGACTATCCATGGGGAATGACTCAGTTGTAATGAGACTTTGTAATTTCTTAAAAATTGTTTTGAAAAGACAGCTGCTATTAATTCAAGTCAGGTAAATTGCTTACTTAATTATTGGTAAACATCCATTTCCCTCCTAGTCTCTTCATTTAGTGACATAATTTGCTCTGTGCATTTAAACCTAAATTAGGGATAAACAGGGATTGGTTCTAACAGGAAAAGCAAATAGATTAGGGCACACAGATACCTAAGAAAAAACTTCCCATCTGTAAAAGATCAAATAAGAAAAATGACTCCCACACAGAAAAGGAGATGGGCGGGTCATGTCATTCCCATACCTCAAGATAATGGATATGGATGCTAATAAAATTTATCCAGCCAGATGGACGATACTCATTGAAGTGCATCTCTTTTACACCTGATGGTGACCGTGGATATTGCACTCAAACTTTAAAATGGAAGTATGCTTATCTTAGCATTTTGTTTTTAAGTAAGCACTTACTCTGCACTTTGCCAGTTAGAAGGTCTCAATAGCCTTCCTTAAAATGAATATCCCATAGACCTTATTACAGATGGCAGAATCATCAGAAAATCCTCAGGGACACAGTGAAAAGAGTCAGCTTCATTTCTAGGTACAGGGTTAGTATTCTGGAATTAATATATGCCTTCGGAAAGACGGAGGACACAGATACTGCTTAGAACAGCAAGTTAGCAATTTGTAAATCTTTAGAGTAGTTCTGATTCATGGAACCATATACTTTTAGATCTGAAAGTGACCTTAAATGTCACTAAGTTCAACTCTTATGTTATAGAAATAGAGACCTTGGAAAAGGTACGTTGCAAGCTAGCAAGTGTCATCTCAAATGTCTTTGAGTTGGATCAATAACCCACATTTATTATTCCAACATAAAAGCCAGAGTCTGCCCAAGAAATGTTATTATTTCTAGAATTATATGCCACTTACAGTTAGTCCCCTAAATCCTTTGGGTCCTGGGGCCCCAGGAATTCCAGGATCACCAACCTCACCCTAAAGATTCAGATATAAGAAATCAAGATGTTAAAATATTTGCCATGAAAAAATATAAAATAGTCTCTCCAAACTGAAACTTAATTGACCTTATAACAATTATACTTTATGTATATAGTATAGCAATTGTTATTGCTAATATAATGTTAAATGTCATTTTTTTCCTCTGTCATTTGAGAACTAAATCATTGGTACTCTTAGATATTATCCAAACTATTTTTATTTCTAATAATACAAACATTGATATATAAATATCATTTTGGTGGCTATCTAGTTACTAAAAATATCCAAATAAAATGCTTGAAAACCAGGGAAAACATTTGGAGTATTGACAACATAAAATACTAAATAAGGGATTACTTTCTATAGTTAGGGAACATTTCTGAAAAAGTTGGAGGCAAAGATAGTTATTCTGACTTTGGTGGCAGACTAATTTTGACAGTTACTTATCAATATGCTTATTTCACATTTATCAGTAAATTAAAATATGCTAATTTTCTTCCTTTATCAATAAACTAGAAAATCAGTCTTTTACAACAAGGACTTTTTGTCCTAACAATTATTTGGATAGTCCATTCTTATACCCTTATACTTAAGAAAGAATCTCTTTTGGTAATTCATCAATTAAAACCACTTTTAAGAGTATTAAAAATTAGGTGTTTTCCTATAGTTGATTTGGTTTGATTAATTACATATTCTATTTTTTGGCCCATATTTTGTATTTTAATTTGTGTACCAACTATGTGCACAGAGGACACTGTTCAGGACACTTTTTTAAAAGAGGAAATCTTAGTACAGAATTCCAGAGTCTAAAACAGATATAATGTGACCCTCTCTGGTTGAAAAGGAAGCTATGTCTTGTTCTACAGCAAAAAGATGGATTTTGATCTGGTAAACAATGAAGAATTCTGGAAAATGTTCAATCAGGAAGGAGCACAATTAGGCTATGCTTTTTTAAAAAAAATATATCAAGTGACAGTAATGTTTGGGATTAACTGAAGCAGAAGGAAGAATATTGCAATTGTTCAAGTAAGAGGAAGTTAAAGTCACAATAATGAAAGAAAACAGCAATAACTGAAGTCAAGAATATTGAATGAGATCACCAAGGCAGAGAAATCAAGAAGAGGACAGAAGACTGAAATTGAGAGGGTATCTGCAGGGAGGCTTTTTTTTTTTTGAGGTAGAGTCTCACTCATTTGCCCTGGGTAGAGTGCTGTGAAATCATAGTTCACAGCAACCTGAAACTCTTGGGCTCAAGTGATTCTCTTGCCTCACCCTCCCAGATACTTGGGACTACAGGGGCCTGCCACAATGTCCACTATTTTTTTTTTAGAGACTTTTTTTTTTTAGAGATAGGGTCTCATTTTTGCTCAGGCTGGTCTCAAACTCCTGAACTCAAGCAATCCTCCTGTCTCAGCCTCTCAGAGCGCTAGGATTACAGGCACGAGCCACCATGCTAAAGGTAGGCTTTTAAGGCATGGGGCAGGAAGAAATTAAGGACACTACAATCTTTTTCAATATAGAGATCCACAGTGGTCAAATATGGTCATTTCTTCATGTAGCTTGAAGAAAACAGCTGCTTTCCCTTCTTCCCCATTTCATTCAGACCTACAGTCTTAGCTCAATTCTCAAGTGGAAGGTTAAGATCATGGTAATTTCAAAAGGGCATATGCACAATACCTTCTGCCCCATATCTCCTGGGAATCCTCTTGGGCCCTATAATTTTCAACAAAGAACATAACGTAAATCAACACACCACTTCTGCAGTGTGATAATATCTTCTTATATTATTTAGGTTTGAGTTACCAATTAAAAACTAATTGATTTCCATATTTACCTTTACTCCTTTCCGTCCCACATGACCATAGCCTGGGATGCCAGCGTCTCCCTGCAAACACACCGGCTCATTTCAATTTCTTTTCTTTTTTTTTTTTTTTCATTTCTATTTGTTAAAAGCAAAAATTAATTGTAATCTATACTGCAGAGATGATGATGTCAGAAGAGAAGCACTGAGGACTTCCACGTGGAACAGGTCTAATCAAGGACTTTGAGCCCTGGACCTGCATGTTGCTGGGTTCTCCTCACTTCCTGCTGTGTCTTCCTGATCCTTCTTTGACCAGCTCTGCTCTGCAACCATTGCAGGGAGCAGAGAGATGGCCATTCAGAACCTGTGCACTCAGTGACAGTTTCTTGCCTGGAAAATTAAGAGCTGGTCCAAAGAATACAGGTGAGGAATTCCTCCAAAGAAAAATTATAAATGGCCAACAGACATCTAAAAAAATGTTCATCCTCACTAGTAAGCAAAAATATGAAATTTGAAACAGTGACGAGGTACTATTTTTTGTTAATGGTAAAGATGGAAAAAAGTGACAATACCGGTCATCATGGATGCTCTGAAACACTCTCTTATATAACACAAGGATCTGTATGTTGTTTGAATTTTCCTAAGGGCACTTCATGGTAGTGTTCAAAGCCTTTATTAAACATGTGCCTATCCTTTCTTTTAGCTACACTACTTCTTGAAATTTCTATGCAGAAATTAATTATGGTTTTATCCAAAAATTCAGTTAGGTACATGCATGTTCATTGCTGTGCTACTTACAAAAGTAAACTAAATGTCCAATAATAAGAGCCTGGTCAAAAAAACTAAGCTATATAAGGTACATCAGTAGAATATATTGAAGCTGTTAAAAGTGGAGTCGGGAGAAAGATGTAATGACATAGAAATTTGCTTATGATACATTGTTAAGAGGAAAAGTAGAGCGAGCTCTCCATTTTTTTTTTGTTGTTGTTGCTGCTGTGTTTTGTTTTGGTACCTTCAGGAAGTTAATGATAAATATCTCAGATGGTGAGATTATGGGAAATTTTTATTTTCTTCCCCCTTTCCGATCTTTTGTGCTGAGTAAATTTCCTTCTTTCCTTCTTTCTTTGCTTTCTTCCTTCTCTTCTTTCTTCCTCCCTTCCTCCTTTCCTTGCTTCCTTCCCTTCTTCCCTCCCTCCTTTCTCTTTTTCTCTCCTTTCAGTAATGTATTTTCAAGTTAGATCACAAAAGAGACATTTTTAAGACTATTAAATAGCTGGACCATTCTACAACCATTTAATGTTATCAGTAGAAATTGCAGTGAAGGAATATTGAAGCCTTTATGGAGGCAATGAACTGCAGCATCTAGCAGCAAGTCAGGAACTTGCTATGCCCTAATAATTTGTTCTCCTTTAAGCCCCTGGGTCCTTATGTTTATTCTTTTCTTTTTTTGCAACTTTCAAATACTGGTATATAATATGTTGTTACTGACTGCACTCATACGATAGATCTCTTGAGCTTATTCCTCCTGTCTAATTAAAATTTTGTGTCCTTTGACCAACATCTTCTCCCATCACCCCAGTCTCTGGTACCCAGAATTGGACTCTGTTTTTATGAGTTCAACTATTTCTACATTTTACACAAAAGTAATATCTCAATGTATTTGTCTTTCTGAGCCTGTTTATTTCACTTCATACAATGTCCTCAAGGTTCATGTTGTCACAAATGACTAGATTTCCTTCTTTTTAAAGTCTGAATAGCATCCCATTGTGTACATATACAATATTTTTGTATCCATTCATCTGCTGATAGACACTTAAGTTGATTTCTTATCTTCTTGCCTATTGTGAATAAAGCTTGTGCTTGATAAATTTTCTACAGTATTTGTGCATGTTTGTAATAAACATCATTATCATGGTTGTCATTATTATTATTATTATGAGACAAGTCTTGCTCTGTTCCCTGGGCTAGAATGCAGTGATATCATCATAGCTCAATGCAATTTCAAATTCCTGGCTTCCAGTGATCTTCCCACCTCAGTCACCCAAAGTGCTAGGATTACAGGCATGAGCCACTAGACCTGGCCAATATATTATACTATTTTAAAAGAAATAAAATAATTGTACCTATATTTATTACTCTATGAGCTGAGCTGAGACATTACTACAGCTAAAACCACAAGGACAGAGTGCAGGGCTAAAAAAGAGATGCCCCATATCTTAGCCCTAGACCTCTATCTCTTGTTGTCACTAAGTTATGTAAGAAGGAGAGAAAAATGGCTGGTTGTATTTTCCAACTGACATGCATCCATATGGCCATATGAGTTGTTAAAATATGTTCTAACTCATCCATTATCTCTCTGCCTACTCTGCTTCTCACTCATGCCATTCTCCCCTACTTTGACAGACTAGCTATAGAATGAGAGTTGCCGGGGATAGAAAAATGTTCCCACACTTTTCTAGATGCTGAAATACCTTCCATTCCCCAGGGACTTGAGCCAAGGACATCAGCCCCTCCTCTTCCCCTCAGGACTAAGAACTTAGAATTAGGGAGTGTGAGGGTTTCAAAACCTCATACCTGTTTTCCTCGCGGTCCATCTTGCCCTACTGGCCCTGGATCTCCAAGAATTCCTGGTTCTCCCTAGTAAATAGAATGAAAAGAACCACAGATCAGTAAACTCAAACCTGGCTCCATAAGAAACAGTTCTGTCCACTGGAAGGAGAGGTTCAAGGTTCTCAGTGAGAAGTCAAGGAGATGGGAATATGGCATAAATAGGGATCTTCCAGTAGCTAGCCGGGGGCATCTAGCACAGCCCAGCGCTGGGCTCATGTACTGCTTTCCCAGTGTTGTAAAAAGACGACAGGGGAAGGCAAAGAGTAGCAAATGGACTTCAGGGAAAGTTGACTCGTTTGCTGATGCATTTACCCATCCAGCAATTACTTGTTGTCCTAGAAAATAAACTGTTGAACATGACTGTGCCCTCACCAAGCACAGTCTGGGTAGAAAGACAAATAATTAGGCAATTATAATATTGTGTGATAAAGTTCAGGGCACTATGGAAACAAGGAGAAGGGGAGTCCAAATCAATTTGGTAGGCCCAGGGAGGCTGCGTAAAAGGAAGGAGCAGGGAGGCTAAGGCCTGTACGTTGAGTTGTATGAGCTAGAGGAAGGGTCCAGGAAGGGGAGAGAGTAACCTAGGCAGAGGGGATGCTTAGTGAGAAGCCTGGGGCAGGCAGGCAGGAGGCACATGAGCAGTGAAGCCTTAGAATGAACAGGGCCAATATCAAAGGGCCTTTCTCTCCCACCTTTATTGTGGTATAACTGAAAAATAAAATTGCATAATTGTAAGGCCTACACCATGATGATCTGATGTCACAATTAAGTTAGCTAACATGCCTATCACATCACTTTTCTTTTTATTATCTTTGCTTTGTGTTAAGAACAGTTAAGATCTACTCAGCAAAATTTCAAGTATATAATCTAGTATTGTTAACCCAGTCACCATGCTGTACATTAGCTCCCTAAAATGTATTTATAACTATCCTAAAATTGGAAGATTTTCCCTAGGGTAATAGGAAAGGCAACACCCAGGACATAATTTGCAGGACTCGTGTAAAAGAAAAGCTCAGGTCCCTTTCTCAGAAATGTAGCGATTCAAGACCCTGACAGCAGAGCATTAGATTAAGCCTTCCTCAGTGAGTCCCCAGAGGTCACAAGGTCCCCCATGCCATATAACCCTGACCCCTAAAGCTGAGGTCTTGGGGCAGGGGGCTGCTGCAAGGTTTTGAGCAGAGAAGTCAGGTTCCATTTGCTCCCTGATTTCTCCATGAGAGCCAGTCAGAGAACCATATGCACACATGGATTTGAGTTCTACTCAAATCTACACCCCACCTACTCTCCACCCAACTCAGCCACCAAGTACATTCCTGCAGTCAGGAAATCAAGGAATTGAAGAGATTTTTTTCAGACTTCTTTCTGATGGGTGGACCACTGCCTCTCTAGTGCAGCAGAGAGGTGAAGCAGCAGCAGGGAGAAACCAGCAGTTAGAAGTTCTTTGCTCAAAGAAAGGAAGAGCACTGTGAACACATGCCGGTGGCTTGCTGTTGGTGTTTGGATTCAATTATGTGGGGAACTAACTCGAAAGTCAGAAAGAGAGTGGAGGACTTTTGCTCTCAGTATTAGAAACCCATAAGAAGGAACATTTACTTTTCTGCCCAATGCTCCAGGTTTTCCGATGCTCCCTTTAGTTCCCACTAGCCCAGGAGAACCCTGAAAAAAAAAAGAGAGAGAGAGACCCAAACATTGGCATTGTAGCAACTCTTAGAAAACCTATTAGGAATGTTGGGCTTTTCTTCATGTCATTCCAAACAGCTCCTTGATGCTCCTTATGGTCCAGCAGCCAGGGCAGAGGCTGGCCTCGGGACTGAACCAGATGACTCGGGCTCCAGCCCTCATTTGAGAATCACAAGTTTTCATCTTCAGGGATATCGCTAGTCCATATGGGTCTTTCATGAGAAATAGAAATGGCACACTTGACTCAACACATGTTATCTCTAAATGTGGGGAAATTGCCATAATGCACCGGTATTGTTAGAACAAGACATTATGCTGCCACCACACACAATGGCACGCAGAATATGGTTCAGTTTCCCAGTCTGAAAATGGGCAAAAGTCTCTCTCACACACATGCTAGGAATATGTGAACATAGAATCCCTTGCCTTCTGAACTCTAACTGTCTAAACTGAAGAATTGAGCAGAACATTTTTCATACAAATCCTCACCATCCAAATGCTCATTACTCACTCAGGGAACAAATAGAGTCAGATGATGAATTCAAGAGCTGCACTTAGGAATCAAATAGATTCAGGTAGCACGGGGTGCATGGCCACTTTTGAATATCAGTAATCAATGGAGATGTATATGCATGGCACAGATAATTTGTAAAAGTTTTTTAAAAATCAGAATCAGCTTTCAGGGAAAATGTTCATGACTGGACAATATTCTTCCAGAAGCTTTCTTTAGGCTGATGGAGTAAGTTTGTGCTTTCTAAGGAAAACCCCAGGGAAGGAGAAAGAGGAGTACATTAGCTACATATAGAGAATCTGAGTTGTGTTAAAATTTTGCCCCAGATAATCTAAAAAGGGAATAGGACATACACAGATGCTATAAAGTCTATGTGAAGATGTTTTACAGTAAGAGGAAAATAAATGCTGGAGTCCCTGAGCCTAATGCATCTAAGTCACCCACCTGCGGTCCTTTGTGCCCCTGTCTTCCTTCTTCTCCTTTGCTGCCAGGATTTCCACTTAAGCCCTTTTGTGATAACAAAAGAAATATAATGTAGTTATGTCAATAAAAACTTATTTGCTTAGTTAGTGCTTTTGAAACATCTCATGGAAAAGAGATGAGCCACCCTTTTAGAAGGCAGCCATTTACCTCAGAGATAAGCAGGTATCAGAAGAGCCACTGAAGCAGACCAGTGGACTCCGGGGTCCAGATCTAATGTCCTGCCTGAGGCTGACCGTCACCCTTCACCCTCTCCCATAAGGGGAAAGACAGATAGACTAATGGGAGGAAATAAAGCTGTGAGAGAAAAGAAGTAAAATGCCAGCAACGGTCAGATGAATTCCTGTATGGGGCAGCTCACCTGGCCCAAAGCACTTATCAGTGTGGAAAGCCCTCTGCAGCAGAGCCCTGCCAGAGGGATCAAACTGTACGTTTCTGCCACATTCACCATCAAAGGCATGGTCCTCATTCTGTTCTCTCATATAGAAGGAAAAACTAGAGGTGAGGTACCAGTGATGTTTCTCCTCCCAAAGCAGCGGCTGCTAAATGGCCCCTGGCTGTCCAGGAGCTGCTGGGTGAGCTTTCATTCACCTCCTAAGCATCAAAGGACCTTTGAGTATCTGAGGTATCTGAAAAGCACCCCACCTCAGAAAGCCTGGGGATGGGTCTAGGCTGATCCCAGGGTTACTCAATCTACTTCACAGTTTGTTTCAGAGACTCACGACCACCCAAAAGAATTCCAATTTCCTGTCAATCTCAAACATTCTAGAAGAAAAACAAATTCCTTGGAAGGGTTTAGAATAGGCACATCTATAGAAAATTTCAGGCATAAGGTGGTTTCCATATAAAGTGGGCTTCATAAGGGGACTAAGAACCCATATCTTATAAAACTATTCCTTAGGGATGACCACAGGGTCTTCCTGGAATGGAAGAGAGTGAAACAAAGACGGCTTGACTTCTGATGGTCGTATTACTGATGATATGGTGATGAAAAATGCAAAGGGCTCGCGTAAAGCCTTACTGGTAATCACTTCAACAGAGTTAGCTTTAGGTGAGTCAAGTAAGAGTTTCCACCTTCTAACTAGCTCTCTTTCATGGGAGTCCATGTGCAGGGCCTCTCTTAATGGAAAACTGAGATCAATGTATTGATTGTGATATCAATCACTAATATAATGGGAAGGTATTAATCACTCATTGTTACTGTGTGTGAGCACAAGGGAACAACTTTCCTCTACAAAGGCTTATGACTGAGCTACAAATGTTAGAGGAAATTTGATGGAACAAAATCACCCACCTACTCCATGTTGGGGAATAAAGCATATGGCAGGAGAGCAGATCAAAAATGTCTCAGTTATTTGTTTTTATCCAGAACTGCCTACCTTCTTCCCATCAGAATAACTTCATATTATTTAACAATATTTACAAAATATTTCAACGCACCTGTGGGCCTTGCAATCCTTCAGCTCCCAGTGCACCCTGAGGCCCAGGATTTCCTGGTTCTCCCTGATGAACAAAAGTTTTCAGTGTCAAGATTTTCTCCACATAGTTCCCTTACAGATTTTCTCTTTAGAGAACTTACAGAGAAAGGTTATAGGTACTGTTTTGTCTGTCCCACCCCCTACTTGCCCCATAAATGCAAGCTTACTTTTTATTCCAATAAAGGAAAGTCAGTCTCTTGCAGTCAATTTCCAAAGCACATGAAAAGCAGCGAAATGTGCATTACTTGGAATTGTACAGGTTCTGCCTGTGCCCGGGCATCTGTGAAGGAGGCTTTGCCTTAGGTCTGTCCTGTTCCTGGGAGCTGCAGTAATGCATGTGTGTGTTTCTTCCTAATCAATGGGGATCATGTACAGTTCTGGGCACTTTCTACAGCATCCTTGTCAAATGCTCCTTTTATCCCAGCACCATTGCATGGGGGAAACATCCTTGGTCCCATCTACCATAGAGGCCAAGAAGTCAAGATTACTCACTGGGGCCCCTTGAACTCCTCTTCGGCCTTCTCTTCCCTAGAACCAAAAAGGCAAAATGTTAGTGTTTAAGTGTGTAGGTGTCTGGCTGGAGGGGTTTCCTGAGGCAAACCAGCCACTCTCGTTCCCTGATTGACACCAGTAACGAGAAACTCACAGAAATAATTTTCCTGAGGCATTTTCCAAAAACAAGTTTAAACACTGGGCACTTAATTATAGACTAACATTTGGGGGATTGATTGCAAACCAATCTAAAAGTCATTACAGATCCAGGTTCAGTCTCACAACCTCTAACAATGATCCAGGAGGCTGTTTGGAGAATCAAACACCCTGAGGAAACTGTCTTCTACATTTCCTTCACCAGCAAATCCCATAAAGCTCTGTCCGCTCCTGGGAAGCTTCTTACCAGAGAAGGGAAAGGTCACATCCATCTCTCTCTGCCCTGGGGCCCTCTAACTGCCTCTTGGGGAGAGTAAAACATTTCTAAAGATGGGCCCACTGGGGTTTGTCTCTATGGATTCTACAAGGAAGAAATGGCTGATGGGGTCTGCTCAACTACATAGTGGTCCAGATGCTACCGCTAGGTTCAGTGGAAAAGAAAAAAAGAAGAAAAGACCTGGCAGATCACTGAAGCCCAAACCCATGCCTGTCCAGAAGCAGCTCACATAGCCAGCTCAGGCCCTCCATCTAGTGGCTGCCTAGCCACACCCTCTCCTTTCCAGACAGTGGCCAAGCCCTGAGATGATTCAGACCTAGATCCTAACTTCCTTTACCTTAAACAGCAAAGATAAAATCTGCTCCCTCACACCTGCCACACCCACACCTGTCCCAGCATCTTTGAGAGAACTGTGGAACATCTCAGCCAGCAATTCACTTAGTGTCACGATAAACTACAACTGCTTTACATACAAAATAAATACTTAAACAGATTGTACCCTTTCACTCTTCAGAAAGGTAGCCATGGAAATTATTTCAGAAATACTGTTTTCTTTCAACTGCCCACCTTACAAGGTTTTTTAGAATAAACTAACTGACCAAATACCAGCTCCACCAAGTTGGCTAATAGTTAAAATTTCTACCTTGAAGTTTTCCCCTTTAATTCAAGGTACTTTTTTTTTTTTAAATTCAAATACCTGCAGCTGTGTCAAATTCAGTGCCTGCCTTACCCATGGTAGGCACTGGCACAGAAGGTTGCCATAGAAACACTGTGACTCGTGGGCCCTGTTCCTGTGTCCCAGGCTCAGGGATAAATTTGGTTGCAGACAGCAAGCTTCTAGACCTCAAGACTGAGTGAGGCTCCTCGTGAGCTCTGGGCTCTCGGGTCCTGTTAGAACAGGATGGGGAGCTAACTCTTCTTTGAAGAGTTGTAGTAAATGCCCATGAGAAGAGGTTCACAGAGGTTCCCAGCTCACACACAGGACCAACAGGATGCCATATGTAAAAAAATAAATAACATAAGTAAAATTCAAATACCCTTTGGGAGAAGTTACCCATTATAACTTGACAGCTGTTTGTACATGGATGTGAATAAGCAATTCTCTTGATGCAAGAAAGTATAGAAGAAACAGTAAACAAAAGTTCAGGCCACTGATTCCATGACATCACAACTCTGTCTCCAATAAAAAGCAGGGATAAGCATTATCAAGTAGGTATCATCCCAGGGGTGCAAGGCTGGTTTAACATACTCAAGTCCATAAATGTTATTCACCGTATCAACAGAAGCAAAAACAAAGACCATATGATCCTATCAATAAATGCAGAAAAAGTATTTGATAAAATCCAGCATCCTTTTCTAATTAGAACACTGAAAAGCGTAGGCGTAGGTGGCACATTTCTTAAACTGATCGAAGCTATCTATGACAAACCTATAGCTAATATTTTACTGAATGGAGTAAAACTGAAAGCTTTTCCTCTTAGAACTGGAACCAGACAAGGTTGTCCTCTGTCACCATTACTGTTCAACATAGTGCTGGAAGTTCTAGCCAATACAATTAGGCAAGACAAGAAAATAAAGGGCATCCAAATGAGAGCAGAGGAGGTCAAATTCTCCCTCTTTGCTGATGATATGATCTTAGAGAACCCCAAAGGCTCAACCACAAGACTCCTGGAAGTCATCAAAAAATACAGTAATGTCTCAGGATCTAAAATCAATGTCCACAAGTCAGTAGCCTGTGTATATGCCAATAACAGCCGAGATGAGAAGCTAATTAAGGACACAACTCCCTTCACCATAGCTTCAAAGAAAATGAAATACCTAGGAATAAATCTAACAAAAGAGGAGAAGGACCACTATCAAGAAAAGTATGAACCCCTAAGAAAGGAAATAGCAGAGGATATTAACAAATGGAAGAACATACCATGTTCATGGCTGGGAAGAATCAGCATTATATCTATACTTCCCAAAGCAATCTACTGATTCAATGCCATTGCTATTAAAATACCAACATTGTACTTTCAAGTCTTGGAAAAAATAATTCTGCATTTTGTATGGGACCAAAAAAACCCCAAATAGCTAAGGCAGTTCTTAGTAATAAAAACAAAGTCAGGGGCATCAATATACCAGATTTAGGCTGTACTACAAAGCCTTAGTGGTTAAGACAACATAGTACTGGCACAGAAATAGAGACATAGACATTTGGAATCAAACAGAAAACCAGGAAATGAAACTAACATCTTACAACCACCTTATTAATCTTCAATAAACCAAAACAAGAACATACACTGGGGGAAAGACTCCCTATTCAATAAATGGTGCTGGGAGAACTGGATATCCACATGTAACAGATTGAAACTGGACCCGCAACTTTCTCCACTCACGAAAATTGATTCAAGATGGATCAGGCATTTAAGGCATGAAACAATAAAAATACTCAAAGAAAGCGTATGAAAAACACTGGAAGACATTGGCCTGGGGAAAGACTTCATGAAGATTGCCATGGCAATTGCACAATTCCAACAGCAACAAAAATAAACAAATGGGACTTAATTAAACTGAAAAGCTTCTGTAAAGCTAAGGAGACAATAACTAAAGCAAATAGACAACCTACACAATGAGAAAAGATATTCGCTTTTTTTTTTTAGAGACAGAATCTCACTTTGTCGCCCTCGGTAGCATGCTATGGCATCACAGCTCACAGCAACCTCCAGCTTTTAGGCTTAGGTGATTCTCTTGCCTCAGCCTCCCGAGTAGCTGGGACTACAGGTGCCCACCACAACGCCTAGCTATTTTTTGTTACAGTTTGGCTGGGGCCGGGTTCGAACACAACACCCTTGGTATGTGGGGCCAGCGCCCTACTCACTGAGCCATGGGCGCCACCCAATATTTGCATATTTTGAATCAGACAAAAGCTTGATAACTAGGCTTTTATAGAAATAAAATTAATCCACATGAAAAAAGCCAACAATCCCATATATCAATAGGCAAGAGACACAAATAGAACATTCTCTAAATAAGACAAATGGCTAAAAAACATATGAAAAAAATGCTCATCATCCCTAATTATTAGAGAAATGCAAATCAAAACCACCCCGAGATACCATCTAACCCCAGTGAGAATGGCCCACATCACAAAATCTCAAAACTGCAGGTGCTGGAGTGAATGTGGAGAGAAGGGAACACTTTTACACTGCTGATGGGACTGCAAAGTAATACAACCTTTTTGGAAGGAAGTATTGGAGAACCCTCAAGAACTCAACCTACACCTCCCATTTGCAATCCCATTACTGGGCATATATCCGGAAGGAAAAAAATCCTTTTATCATAAAGACATTTGCACTAAACTGTTTATTGCAACTCAATTTACAATTGCCAAAATGTGGAAACAGCCTAAATGCCCACCAACCCAGGAATGGATTAATAAGCTGTGGTATATGACACCATGGAATGCTATTCAGTCATTAAAAAAATGGAGACTTTACAGCTTTTGTATTAACCTGGATGGAAGTGAAACACATTATTCTTAGTAAAGCATCATAAGAATGGAGAAGCAGGAATCCTATGCACTCAATTTTAATATGAGGACAATTAATGACATGGTGGGGGTGGGGGAAGGGGAGAGCAGAGAGAGAAAGAAGGAGGGAGGGATGGGGGAAAGGAAGACCAGAGAGAGGTAAGGAGGAAGGGGGTGGGGTCTAGGTGTGTGATACACCTTTTAGGGGCAAAGCACAATTGTAAGAGGGTCTTTACCTAACAAATGCGATCAGCGTAACCTGGTTTCTTGTACCCTCAATGAATCTCCAACAATAAAAAAATAACAATAAAAAAGCAAGGAGAGGATAATATTTATTCTGTGTAACAGACAGTAGGGCACAATGGTTAGATGTGTGTCCGTAGGAGTCAGGGAACCTGGAGCTAAGCTCTGCTCTTTAAAGCCTGTGTGGTTCAGGGCAGGTGTGTAATAAACCTAACCCAGGGTAGTTAGGAGCCCAGTTCTGCAACTGACAAGCAACTTGCCCAATTTTCCTGAATTGGATCTTCTCATCTGTAAAAATGGATATAATAGTAATATCTACCTCACAGGCATGTTGTGAGAACTAAATGAATTAAAAGTTGCAAGTGATTTGATCAAGACCTGGCACAGAATAGATGCTATAGAGGTATCCTTTCTGTGTGGCAAGCAAAAAGTAAAGGGCCTGGGATGTGGTTTCAAATGGTTTTCAGAGTGTTGCTCCACTGTTTAGGCAACAGCTGGTACAACAATTAATTTATGTAAATTGAAATTCTATCACAAAGAAGGTAATGTCTTGAGCTGGCCTTTGCTGTTTAGAATTTGTCATTCAGTTAAGATCCTCTGACCCTCATAAAGAATTCTGTCCTTCATTAGAAAGTTGGGGGAGAGGATAAAAAACTTGATACTGTTTCATATCAATATACCCAGTTTAATTCAGGAGAAAAGAAGTTAAAATGGGGAGATCCACAGGGAAATGAGTAAAAAATGAGGAAGGGGCTGAGAGCCTCATGTCCTGAAATTGACTTCAGAGCAGTTGCCTAGTTTGTCCAGGGTTTAATCCCCAGCCTAGTATCACTTTTTTAAAAAGTGCCAGATTGATGTGTCACAAAGCTATTTCAAACTAAAAGTATTTTCTCTTAAACCAACAAAACTACATATTTATCTTTAAAATTTATAGCATTTAGGTCATCTTACTGTTCTAGTACTTCCTCTTATTACATTTTAATTCTTTCTTGTGAAGAAAGAGGGCAAAGTCCCAAAGAATTTTACCAGAAGCAATGGGAAGCGTAACCTATCTGAGTGCTGACTGCTTTTCCCTTAAGAACCATGATTCAAGATAAACAAAGGCAGGAGGGATTAAAACATGTTTCTTCACTATCCCAGAGAGAAGGGCAATCAGCTACAGCCTTCAAAATGATGAGAAGATTCCAGTTTTGTAATAGAAAAGAAATCCAAGTATTTTCACTTCCCTCTTGAGCCAAATCTAGAACTTTGTACATTATTCTTTTTATGATGTCTATGCTGAGCACATGATGGGAGAGTTATAAATATCATTATAAATATCATCTCTAACACGGTAGTTCACAAAGGAAAAGGTGATTTCTTGATTGTTCCTTAAGAAGATGGGGAAATCCAACATCCCTATTTTTGGCTGTGATCGGCTTGATATAAAAATATGAGTTCTGAAGTTATCCCAGGACCTCAAGGATGCCACTGAGCTGGCTCTAACTGCGAGTGTTTGGGCCCACTCAGGAAGAATTTCTGGGTGACTCCTCTTCCTCATTGGCTATATGTAACAAGAAAGAGAGTATATTTACCCAGTTCATAATATTCTTAAAATGCTAAACTATCAGAAGAAGGCTTTTAAGTTAAAAGTCATTAGCTCTCTTCAAAGACATTCAAAAGCATCTGGAAGGTAGAAGGGAAAGGCGGTAGATGTCACAATGGTTCTCAGCCACAGGTGGTTTGTCCCGCCTCCAACCCACAGTACCCACCACAGACAGTTGGCAATATCCGGAGACATTTTTGGATGTCACAAGTGGGTGGGGGGAGAGATGGTGATGTGGATCTCTACTAGCCAGAGAGCAGGAATGCTGGCAAACATCCAACAATGTACAGGACAGCCCCCATCGCAAAGAATTACCTGACTCAGAATGTCAGTAGCTTCAAGACTGAGAAACCTGCAAATGCATCATCTGACTGCGTAGCAACAAAAGCTCTGAATGTCTCTGTGCCATCTCCAAGTGATCAAGAGGGGAAATAAGTGTCTTCAGAAGTACTTACCCTGCTTCCTCTGGAACTAGGGCTGCCTTGTGCTCCTTTCTGTCCTGTTCTACCCTATAAATACAATAGTTCCCCCAAGATTATAAGGTAACAGATTCTGAATAAATTATAAAGGCATCAGCATCAAAACCCCAAGAATTGTTAAAAATAGAATAGATGTGTCATGCTACAATCATTCTGAAGATTAACACTGTCAGTTCTATACTCTTTAATAAACAGGAATAGCAATGTGCACTATTATTACAAACTCTCACAAATAATATCACTTGCCAGGAACTTAATAATTCTATAGTTCCATAGCCTACTATAAAACATGCCTTATTTTAAGAAATTAAGGCTCTTTTAGGCATGGACTTCAGGGTATTTATTCAATTATAACAGGGCTATGTATTTTACTAAATTTACTTATCTTAGTAATAGAATTAAGTAACTCATATGTATAAAATAGATCCAATTACCTGTCTTCCTTGTTCTCCTTTGGAGCCCTTTTGTCCTTTGATGTTATTGTTTTGTCCTGGATTTCCCTAAAAAAAGATTTTGAAAAGTATTTTAGAATTCATAAATGTCAGGGGGTGGGTGTGTGTGTGTGTGTGTGTGTAGCAAAATGGTAAGATGTTCAGGCACTAAGTTAATCCTTGTTAAGGGATGAGAGACATGAGAAAATTTTTAATATTTGAAACTGATAGGATTTTTAAACAAATAAGAGTAATGTTTATCCAAATGTGAGGGAGATTTTGTAATAAATGAAGAATTATAGGAGTGCTTTCTACATGTGATTTTTCCCTTCTTCGCATTGGCAGCTTCACTGATGCACCGGTCCAAACATTCTTAGGCCACTCCCTCAAGTGTGTAATAAGATTCCCCTGTAACTAATTCTACAAATAGGGAATCTGCAGGTCTGCTAGATTAGAAGTTCAATAAACAGAGGAAATTTTGCCCCAAAGGAACTTGAAAGTCTCAACATACCATAAGGATTCGTAAGTGGAGCTTTATTTCCTAGTCCTAAATCTTTAATATAACCAGCCTAGATCAAACACAGAAAGACTTTTCCGAAAGCTTCATTCAATACCTACTGGCCCTACTCCCAAGACAAACAGTTGCCTACTGGTTAGCAGGGACACAAAAAGAAAGGAGATGGGAACTGAGGAGCAAATATATAAGTCAGAGCCAGCTGGCCTTTGTAACTTACTGGATCTCCTGGGAAACCCTTCTCGCCATATCCCCCAGGGGGGCCTCTTGATCCTGGGCTGCCCTGAAGAAAAAAATAAAATGATCTTCTGATTTAACTTGTAGGAAACTTATACAATGGTGCAAATGTCAACTATAGAATTGGTTGGGGATTAATCAATCAGATAAAATATTCTTCATCCTTCTATCTCAGCAATGGTCCCATAGTCTCCCCAAACAGTATTATGTCCAGTTTTAAGCCTATGGTCAGGATTACCTACAGGGAGGCTGAGAAATAAGAAAACTTCTTGAGGTCCAGCTGTCCAACAGGACTTCCTTGAGTGTTGGAAATATTCTGTACCTATGCTGTCCAGGTGGTAGCCACTAGCCATACGTGCCTAATGAGCACTTGAAATGTGGTCAGTGCAACTGAGGGGCAGATTTTTTAATTTAATTAAATTTAGATAATCACAATATGATATGTCACATATCATATTTTACATCCTAGCCAGTCTGGCCACTTCTGACATCAATGATTGAATTTCCTGCTGGAAATCTCCACAAGGGTGTTCCATTGTCACCTCACAGCCACCTGTTCCCAACTAAACACCCAAGCAGGGATTCTTTTTTTTTTTTTTTTTTTCAGTTTTTGGCTGGGGCTGGGTTTGAACCCACCACCTCCAGCATATGGGGCCTGCGCCCTACTCCTTTGAGCCACAGGTGCCGCCCCCAAGCCAGGATTCTTGCAGATATTCTGACTGAGTCTCCATTTTCTGGTCCTCTGGTCGTCCAGATCTAGAAACCTTATGTCCCAGAGCCAGAACTAGGGTGAGGCAAGAGAGGCACCTAGATGCAAATGTTACAGAGGCCTTCACTCACGTAATTCTGAGAGTGAGGGTGTCCTCTGTGCCCGGTGCGCCCCTCACCTCACCCCAGCTTAGGCCATGCTATGTCCTTACTGTGTCAGTCCTCACTGCCACTGCTTTGTTAGAAGCTTCATCACTTCTTGTCAGATTACTACAGATCTGCCTCTCATCCCCTCATCCCTGCCTTGCACCATGTCACCTCCAAGACATCTTCCACACTACTGCCAAGTGATATTTCTAAAATGAAAATTTGCTTGTGATCCTGCTGCTTAAAATCTTTCAAAGGCTCCCCATTACCTAATGGCTAAAGCCAAAATCCTCCATGTGGCTCACTACTGCCACCCTGATCTCTTCCTGCAACCTCTTGAACCTTACCTCTCATTACCTACACGCTAATGCTCCTTCCAGGCAGAACACTTTGCAGCGCCCCAAGCCCCATGTCTTTGGTCATGCTGTTCCATCTGTCTGGAATGCCCTTCCTCTACAACTTTGCCTTGCTTCAATTCCGTTGATGAATTCCTGTGCACTTCAGCTCAGGGATCACTTCCCCCAGGAAGACTTCCAAGACACCCTCTCAGACCCCTTGCCACCTGAGTAGGTGCCCTTCTCTGGACTCCCATCCTGCAATGTGGCCTCAATCACATTCTGTGTCATCACAGTCCATGGATATGCCTTCTCCCCAGTGACACTGTGGGATCCTTGAGGACAAGATTAAGTGGCTCCTCTCTGATTCTTTAGCAAATAACTCTCTGCCTAGCACATGACAGGTGGTCAAAAAGCATTTGATAAATAGATCAGAACATAAACGTCAAGCTGCTTAAAATCAAGTAGGCACATATTAATGGGTGTTGAATTTAAAGTAAAAAAAAAAAAAAAGCTTCACTGTGATTTACTATACCAAGGCCACAAAATAATTTTGTCTCTTTCTCTTGCCTTTGAGTTTTCTCAGACATAATAAAGAGAACACAGAAACCACTGACAGTCAAAAGCATTCATTACAGGCTTCTAACAAACGTGCTCACAGAAGAACCTTGTATGCTTTGAATTATTCTAGCTGGAAATTCTTGAAAATTACATGGTTACTCACTTCCTCCAAATGGAAATGTAGCGTCTATTCAGTGGTAATAGGCCTTCATTATGTGGTTAAGTCACTTGCCAGTTTTGTCTCCAATAACCATTGACACACAGCAGTTAAGTCTACCTCTGTTACCCAATTCTCCTTTGGTGTATTGAAAGTCTTACCTGAGACCCGGGATCACCTTTTTCTCCTTTTGTTCCAGGAAATCCATGAAAGCCCTAAAAGAAGACATGGAAAATAAAAATCCCATTTAAAAAAAAAAAAACCTATCAACCTCATGACGGTTTTTGTGATACTTGAAGAAATACAGCTTACCTCTTCCCCATCGAGTCCATCGATGCCATCAACTCCTTGTTCCCCCTGAGAGATAGCAATAGGCAGCAGTCAGGTAAAGGAGAGTCTCTGCTCCATTCCTATTGGGAAACTAATCCCATTAAGAGATCAAATTGGACTAACAAGGAACTCCGTACCTTATGTCCAGAAAATCCTTTGGCTCCCTGCAAAAGATTAAATATCTCTCACTGACATGCCAAAGACAGAGTGTGGATTCCAGATTGTTGTGGCAGGAAGGGGCTGCCTCCCTCAAGTGAGTGTGCATTTCTTTCATTGCTTCTTGCTATATATCCACAAAGGGGTTATAGGTAGAATTTAATTAATGCTAAAGACACCTTGAAGCAGAATTAATCTAAGTGGAGAAAGGGACACAGAGAAGAGTGATGGAAGAGAGAAAATGAGGGAGGGCAGGAATGGAGGGGGAAAGGGTGTCACAGGGAATAGGAAATGTCATTTTTGGAAGTGTCGTACCTTCTGACCCCGCTCTCCCACACATCCTGCAATCCCTTTATCTCCTTGGGGTCCTATTTCTCCTCGTCTTCCCTAAGAAAAAGAACACAAACAGGTATCCAAATTGATGCTTTAAATGCCAGAAGCTGCCAGTGGTTTTCTTTTAGAGAGTTAAGCCAGAGCACACAGACACTCTGAGCTTTAGACAAAGCGGATGCTCCTGAGAGCTCATTCATTTAAATCTATTTTTCCCTTTGTCTTCGAATATGTTCCCCTGTCAACCTTCAGAGCTTCCTTACAGATCCAAGATCACAGAAAGGTACAGGATGAGCTCAGCCCTCCTCAGACAGCACAGTCAGAGTTTCTGAGTCACTTCATTTTGTAGCAGCATTGCAAATATTCCAGTAATACATGTGGGACCTGACATCCTAGGAGCCCAGGGCCCTCCTGCTACACTGGGGGAGAGTGAGCACTGCTGACAGCACAGAAACAAGTCAGGGCTAGGGCCCTGGAGCTGAGTGGAAATGCCTGCTGGGAGGTGACATCACACAAAGGCAAGAAGAGCCAGTTCTTGTGGAAAGGATGTCCCCAGGTTAAAGAGTCCCAATGTCAGTTCATCCACATGGGGAAGAGCACTCAAGGTCAATGGCACGAATGTCTCCCATCAACTTTCCCAGGAAATATTTAAATACAGGTAAATGCTAGAGAAAAATGAATCTCAAGAGAAGACAATTTTGTGTTCCTTGAAGGCAAGGACCCCAACCGTCTCTTTCAGCTTTGTGTCCCTTGTGGTGGGCTCAGGTCAGGGTACATAACAGTTACTCAAAGTTTATTGCATGAAAAAAATAATTGTTTAGCAATGAGCCTAATTGTTTCCTTAGAGAGAAATGATTCCCCCCCCCCCCTCCGCTTTGCTTTCTTTACTCTGAGGATTATTCCTATAAAATGAGCCCTCACCCATGACCACAGATTGCTGAGAGGTACCTAACTATGCCTTACAGCTTCACACGCCTGGACTCTCTGCCAGCTGTGGGCTCACAGCCAGGCAGATGGGTGACGCTATTCCCCATACTCAAGCAGTAGTCAGGTGACAAGATCCCTCCGAGGGCCAGAGTGGGTGAGTTAGAGCATCCCCCTTAGTGGTCATTTTATAAACTAGATTAGCATCTGGGTCCCAGAGGAATTTATAAATGTTTCAAGATGAGGAAACTAAGGGCTAAAAGTTAAGTATCTTGTTCCAAATCTAGGTCAGCCCCTGGCAGTGTGATCTTTGCTTTTTAATCCTTACAACTTGCTTCCCAGAGGAGAAACTGGCCTTAAAGGGATAAAGATCCAGTTTGGATGCTTCCGGAACTTGCCCATTCTAAATGTGCCACCCAACATGATTTTAGTCACTTCAAATTTATTTTCATAATTTGGCGAACCAAGTGAAAGTTTTGGTTTCAGAGTTAGGCCTTGAGGTTTGCAAGTCTCTATGTAGCATTTAAACAAGAAGCTGGGCCTTGTGATGCCCTTCCCACTCCCCTTTCTGTGGAGGGATGTATGCTCCAGTGCTGGCCCATAGCCAAGTGCCAGGCACTGGGTTTCAGGTGCAAAGAGAGCCTCCGAGCAGATAACCTGCTGCGCCCTGCTTAGGCATGGAGAGGAAGATACCTGGCACTCTGCCACTAATTAAAGCATGCCAGTCCACATGCGTGAAAGCCTATTCCTTCCTTCCTTCTAAATACAGATTTAGCAAGTGCCTTGTGATTAGGACAAGGAGAAAGGAAAAGCAATGCTCCCCCCCCCAATAAAAAACCACAAAAACTAAACATATGAACAAAACTCCATCTATCCCTTCTGTATGAAAAAAAATAAAGCTTTTCCATGAAAAAGAAAACCAAAAAGTATGTATTGTGAGGGAGTCACAAAAACTTACAGGGTCTCCATCTTCTCCCCTATGTCCTCTGCTGCCCTTCAGACCTGAGGAACCCTGGGAAGAAAGAGAGAAAAAGAAATTTTAGCCATCCCCCACTAATTCAAACTTGTGAAATATTAGGCCTTCCCTATCTTCAACTTGGTTACAGTTTGTGCAAATGTGGCTATGAGTTTGGGGAGAGTCTAATAACATCTGGAGCTGGCTTCGTGCTCACACTCATCTCTGGAGCCCTTCTGCAGAAGGCAGTGCTCCTAACCCCTGGGGAGACTGACCTCAGCTGAGGGCTGAGGGGCTGCACTTGTGCTTAAGGGATTTGCAGAGAGGATAGCTGCACCCGCCACGACTCTTTAGCAGGTAAATTGAAAACATTTTCAAAGGGAGCATTTTATTTTCTCCTGATTTTTTGAGAGCTCAAGGAGGACTTTTCCAAGCATTTCCAAAAAGGAGGAGCATATAAGTATTTAAATTATAGTCATCTCTCTCTCAGGCACATGGGGTTTAATAACTTTGTGGCTTACTTGTAGCCAAGATCTTGTTTGAGTTTTGCTTTCTCTCACCCTCTACCATAGGTCCTAGGTTTCTGTTTGCTGTACCAGGGGTGGGAAGGGGGGCACTCCTGGAGCAATTCTAATATCGATCTGAGCAAAACAATGAGGGAGGAACCTGCACTAAACAAAACATCACAGTGCAATAAAAAGTTCAATATATTAATAAGTTATCTTTCCACAATCATGAACGAAGCAGAACTCACAAGTAGTGAAGTTTGATCTCAAAAAAAAAAAGCAAATTCATTTTCATTGTGATATCAAAACTACCTTCGGAAAAGTACATAAAAGTGAATAAAATATAAAGTACAGCTTAACAATGAACTTTATACAATAATTTTATAATTTTTTGGGGGGGTGAGACAGAGTCTCACTTTTCACTCTTGGTAGTGTCATGGAGTCATAGCTCACAACAATCTCAAACTCTTGGGCTTAAGTGATCCTCTTGTGTCAGCCTCCCAAGTAGCTAGAACTATAAGTACCTGCCATAATGCTCAACTATTTTTAGAGACAGGGTCTTGCTCTAGCTCAGGTTGGTCTCTAACTCCTGAGCTCAGGAAATATTCCCACCTTGGCCTCCCAGAGTGCTAGAATTACAGTACAGGCATGAGCCACCATGCCTGGCAAATTCACAATTATTATGTTTAGAAATAAGGTCTGTGTGACTACCACCCAGGTCAAGAAATAGAGCATTACAGGTCTCAGGCACTATACTTGCCCCAATCACAATTGCCCCACCCACCCCACCCAGGGGTAAACTCATGACTTTTATAAGAGTTGCTTGCCTTATAAAAGTCCTTCACTACTTAAATATTCATCCCTAGACACTGTAGGTTAGTTTTGCCTTTTTTCCCAAACTTTTTATAAGTGGAATCATATCGTAAGTATTCATCTATGTTTCACATTTTTTGTTCACTACTGTGTTGGTAAAATTTATTCATGTTGTTGCATGGAGCTATAGTTCATTCATTTTCATTGACATAGAGTATTTTATTGAAAATACTGTGGTGTGCTTATTATTGTTGTGTAATTTAATCTTTTATAATTTTTTTAAAGGACTATTAATCTGCAATGCTATGATCTTCCTGTAGTTCAATCTCATTCCATTGCTGATAAAACACAACTTCCTACTCTTCTTCTTCTTCTTTTTTTTTTTTTTTTATTGAGACAGGATCTTGCTATGTTGCTGAGGGTGGTCTCAAACTCTTGGATCAGGCAATTTTCCTGCCTCAGCTGGGATCATAGATGTGTGCCAACATGCCTAGCTCCATCTCCAATATTTCAAATGCTTCTTGTCACCTTTCAAACTGTTTCAGGCAGGTACAAAAATGTAAATTGAAAAACCAAGAAGCAACATCACCAAGGATATAGAAGAGAAAAGGGAGTTTTTCTTACTAGCAGGATCAAAAGTGAGCCTTTCCAAACTGGCTTCCACCCCATAAAAGTCACATTAAATGACCAAAGAAATTATATTAGCATTGAAAGAAGGTGGTGAATTCAACCACTCAGTCTCAGTTTCACCTGTACAAATCAAGGCATATTAGGTAAAATAACAAATAAATGGCACCTTCATGGCTTGTATTCCTTGGGTCCCCTGATTTCCTGGAACCCCTGGACACTTGCAAAATGTACAGCAGCAAGTCTTCTCTGCAATATTTCCCTGGACAAAAAAAAAAAAAAAAGCAGATCTGAGTAACCATTGTTAGGAATTTTATTGCGTAAGAATTGTATTCACACAAACCATAATCTGCCCCCTTGAGCCCGTCTTCTCCTTTGGGTGAAGAGCTGCAGACAGTGAGAGGTGCTTTGTGATTTAATATTACAGAGTGGGCACCAGGGTAGCAACTGCATTGGCAACATCCCCTCTCCGAAGAAATGACCTCTATTCATGGAAAGGGCACCCAGTGTTGAGATAACCACAGCCCAAGTTCACCTAGGACTTTTTCCTAGTTGCCAGCCTCCTGTTTCCTGAAATTTCTACAGCATAAATTGTTAGGAGCTTTTTAATTTGATAGTCATTGACAGGTTTGTTAGTTCCCTATGTATTTATTTAATGAGATGATTAAAAAAATGAAAGGATATGCAAAAACAAAATATGGATGCCCTGATGTTCTGGTCTTTAACACTTTATTTATTATTTATTTAGTCATTTGTACATAGATCATGAATACATTTGTACCATTATGGGATTCAATGTGTTGATTATTTGTACAAATTGGAGTGCTTATATCCTACTAATCAACATAGCCTTCACCTTATTTACCCAATTACAGCATTCGGACATTTGTGTTCTACACCTGATAGATCCAACTTGTACTTGCAATATGCCCCATAGGTGTGGTCCCCCTACTAACCCTCCCCCGAACAACTCGCCTCCCCTCCCTCCTTCCTTCATCCTAGGCTATAGTTGTGTTTTATTTTTCATATGCAAGTGTGAGTGATTATAATTTGGTTTCACAGTAGTACTGAGTACATTGGATATTTTTTACACTTTTTTATATACTAAAGATAAGGCACCTAATTTGGTGAGGCAAAACAAGGCAGTTCTTTGAAAATTCATATCAAGATTCGAATGTAGTCATGGTATTTTGAATAACTGGGTATTTTTGTCCAACAACTCACCAAGTACTGTGATAGTGTTTTGCCCAGTTCTCTCATTCCAATGGTCAGGTGAGTCCTGTAATCAAATCCTTTTCCAAATTCAAAGCTGGAAAACTCCTGGTGAGCAGTGGTGTTAAGAGAAACCACCAGCAGAGCATCAAGTCCTACTCAGTAAAAATAAAAGATGGAAAATGAAGGGATTTATGTCTGTACATGAAAAATTAGGTGAACCCATCATGTTTCTACGCAGTGACATTATTGAATGAATCAGAAAGGGAAAAACACAAACATAAGAGGAAGTAGGACTCTCAAGAGATGAAGAAACAGACAACAAATCTTTGCCTGCATTTTCTGAGTATGCACTGGCTCTGGTCACTGACTTTAGCATGAAATCCCATGGGAAAAAGTGTTTAAGAGAAACTAACCACAAGTCTACAGAAAAACACTAGCAGAAAACTGTGTTCAACATCTTACAGCCAATTTTGATGCAATTCTTGGGCATTTTAAAGTAACTTTTAAGAAAGGGCATTGTTCATCTTTAGAGAGCTTTTCTGAATTTTTCTGAATATAAAGTAATGATAGTTTTCAAGTTATCCCCAATGCTAATCAGCCTTGGAGGATGACAGGCTGTGAAGATGTAAGGAAAGCCCAGGGTGATTCCAGTTTCACCCAAATTCCTGACTATATTCAATTCATTAATTATTTATTCATTACTCACTTATTAAATCACTCACTGGTTAAACAAATATTTTCATTAGAAGTCTATTATACAGAAATACAAGATGAATTTTTCACAGAGTTTATGGTCCATTGGAAGAGATGGACAATAGTAAGATATTTGCTCTGAGAGGGAACACTGGGTTCTAGGAAAGCCTAGATAAGCTCCTAACTCAGACTTGAAGCATCATGGAAGGTTTCTTAGAAAATTGATGTCTATCCTGATTCTAAAAGATGAATGGAAATTGGTCAAGAAACAGAACCAGAGATGAGAGATGTAGGGAATAATTAGGGAGAAAGGTTGGAGGAGAGCACTAATTAAGGATGAGGAGAAATGAAGCTATAAACTATATTGGGAGAAGAATGGGAAAGAAGAAAGATTGATACCCCTGGGACATTGAGTGTGGGCAGTAACAGTGCTGGCATCCTGCCTGTTATAGTGGACTCTCCCATCACAGTATACTACCCTCAGCTTCTGCACTGAGCTTCCAGCTCACTCTGAAGCTATAACATGGAGAGAAGGTATAACGTGAGATGTGCTTTTCCAAATCCATGTTGAATCAGAAATAAGAGAAGGTGTCTTAGGTCAGCTTCCTTAGAAGTGGAATCTGAGTGAGGATTTGTGTATATGTAGGAGAGAGAGAGAAGCAGGAAAGAGAATGGGAAGTTGTGAGCAGGAATATAGTTCAGCAAAGTCTTAGCCTTGGCCTGATTCAGAAGGACTCTGGAGTATAAATTGTACCCAAGATGCCTCACTTGAGGCAAGAGTTCAGGCTTTTTATCTCTGTGTCACTGATAGTCCTCCTCACCAACAAGGTGGGACATGGCATAGCCCCACCCCTTCTCCAAACATGCCTAGGCATGCGCTTTATGTCACTCAAGGGTATTCGTCTGTAAAAGGTCACAAGTATGAGCACCTGGCCACAGCATTTGCACATTTGGAGGAGAGGTGTGGGCACTGGTCAAAGGGTTTAGGTGGGGCACCAATAGTATCTACTGCAAGTGTCCAGACAGATCCCAAGATCTAGAGCAGCTGACAAAGGGGAGACTAGTTCAGCAAAGTCTATGCTTCATCGTTTAAATTTTCATCTCAGTACCTGCTTCTCTGAGCCTGTCCGATTGATCTTCAAGCATTATGTTACTTTCACTCTGGAGACCATCAGAAAAGACAAGCAGCACCTACAAGAAAGGGAAAAGCAGAGAATGGGTGGACGTGAGTGTGAAATATATAACTGGGCGAGAGGAACAAATGGAAGAACATAGAGATGAGAGGTAAAATGTGGAGTGGCTACCTGAGCCCGGGATGCTGATTTATCCTCAAATGTGTCCCACAGAGACTGTAAGAACTGTGCATTCAGATGAGTTGGCCCGCTGACTTTGACTTGCAGCAAGCTGTCAAACACTACTTTCTGGTAGATTTGGAACTTGGCAGGAAATTCTTGGTCATTGTTCACCTTGAAGGCCAAGCTCACCTGCGTCTCTGCACCTGCCCCACAGCTCACCCCCCTGATGGAGGAGATGTCCTCTAAGATGCCTGGGAGGTAGGTTTCCAGCAGGGGATGGCCCTGGAACAAAGGCTGCCCCTGCAGGTGAGTAGAAATGTCAAACCCGACCACTACGTCCACAAAGCAATCTGGAGACCAAAGGAAATAAGTGAAAATTAATGAGTAGACAGGAGTAGGCAAGGGCAGATAGGGCAGGAGAAAGAAGAGCTGTCATGGCCCAGAGCTGGAGGGTCTTTAGTGCCCAAAACATGTTCAAGAAGCAAGACACTGGCTGCTGTAGCCATATATAATACAGGGGTTTTCTCTGTCCCTTTATAAATACTAAATGCTCCAATAGCTATTTAAAGTTCAAACCATACTTTAGTTTCCAGTGGCTTTGTGTACATGGGCACATGCATACATGGGTGCACATTGTTTTTCTTCTAATGGTGACATATTTTGATTCACATAATCCTACCAAGTTAAAGATTTGAACTGTCCTTGGAGATTATTTAATTTTTAGAGGTCACAAACACAAAGGCTGCAGAGGCTATGGTGGGTAATGTAGATCCAAATTTTCTGGAAGCAGAGAAGTCTCTCTTTACTGCACACAATTCATAATAAAAACATGTTTGCCTAGACTCAGAGCCAGCCCATGAAACACCTTGGGAAACGGAAAGACAAGAGGTTGCAACTGAATAAAGTCAAAGAGCACTTACTGGTTTTCCCACAGGTCTGGCAGATTTCACGGACCATCCTTTTTTTCACATCTATATCCTTTAATTTATTAAATTCTTGAAAAGTAATGATTTTTTCAGAATTGCCTGTGATCGGCAGAAGCTGTTCCTTATGAACATCTCCTATGCCCAAAACCAGGATGCAAATTCCAAGGTCCTTCAAGGTTTTTACTGCATCTGCCACATTATAGTAGGGGTCTGTCGATGTGATAACAACCAATGTCTGAGGGACACCAGCATTTCTTCTCCCACCAGCAGATGGATTAAACATATTGCTCACGCGTTTGAGGGCAAAGTCGATTCTTGGACGCCCACTGCTCTTGGAGACAGTTTGAATTTGAGTCTTCCACTGAGTTGTAGTAAGAGAGTTTTTCAACTCTATAATTTTCTGGTAGTCATTTCCAAATTTAGCCATACCGATTTTCATTCTTTGAGACTGAATGTCAAAATTATCAATTAAGTCTGACAGGAACGTTGTCATGGTAACAAACTCTGAATTAGATACCTTGTCAGAGCCATCACAAAGGAAAATCACGTCAGCTTCCTGAAGGTTACAGACTGCAAAAGCAAAGAAGGTGTAAGTTATTTTCCTCATGAATCATTCTAATTTTTTCCTTTACTCAAATACTTCAATTGCTTTATATTAGGAGCAAACTGAGATACATTAACAAAAGAGGGAGTCACTGATTTACTCTCAAAAGGAAGGAAAAAAAGCAAGATCAGGGGAAAAAACAAAAACAAAAACGGGAAAGATCAATAGAGTTTTTTCAAGCTCTAGTTATTTCCATGATCCATTTGCAAACACACTGAAAACAAATCAGAGAAGGAAAGTAGGAGGTCTGAATGGACTTAGTGTACTCATTAAAAAGTAATTACAAAAGCTACAAGACTCTTCAACATACCCAGGTTGGAACATTCACCCAAATCCAGGTAATACTACTACTATACTATAATTAGTACTTCTGCTACTACTAATGCTGCCACTTCACACTTTTATAGAGAAATATCATTTAAAAATGATATTTTTCATATAATACCATGATATTGACAGCCACTGTATGAAGAGTTATTCTAATTTTATAAATATAGACATGGAATTCAGAGGTAAAGTGATTTGCCTAAGAGCACACAGTTAGTATGGAGTGGAGCTGGTGTCTGGACCTCTAGAGGAAAGAAGTGAAGAAGGAAAAAAGAAAAGGGAGTGAGCTGACTGATTCATTTGCCAGGTTGGGAGGACGGGACCAATACAAACCACGGGATTCAGACCTTCCAAGGAGGCACAGCAGCCCTCCCTCAATGGCTTGTCGGTCTTTGCAGCTTTTGAGATCAAGTGGTAAATCTCACCCTTTCCTCACTGCCTTCATCCTACTCACCCCCAAATGGCTCATAATCAACTCAGTCCCCTTCTCTCCCTGCTGCTCTCACCCAAACTCCAGTACCCCACATTCAACTTTCATATCCTGCCATCAGCACAAGTGCCCATTATGCAGAAAAGCCCATTGGAACACTTGAACCTTCAATGGCCCCACAGGATACCTACAATCCCATTTAGATCTGGATCTTTAAAGACAATCATCTATCATTTCAAACCATGAAACGCTCCACTTGAGTTTGGCGTGAAACTGATGCCAGTGTCTGTATTAAGACCATTAACCAAATGGAGCAGCATGAGTGGGTAGCCACTAAATGGGGTAAGGTGAAGGTGACCTTAAGGTTACTTTCTTCCAACAAGAAATGGCAATAGGTGGCAAAACAGTGATGAATGCTTCTGGAACTTTCCTGTACAATCTCTTCAATGCATGCTGTGGTGGGAGGGAACTTTTGGGATCTTACCCAATCAACCCACTTTGTTAGAGGTAAGAGAACTGCTAGCCTAAGCAGAGAAATTTCAGCTCATGACACGTAGGTAATTAGAAGCCAAAACAAAACATACTTTTTGTTTAAACTTTTATTGCCCTGTAGAAACTTTGACAATAATAACTTACCCTCTTGTGCGTTGGTACACATGCTTTCCTGTATAGGCATGTAGACATCCTTCAGTTTGTTGAAATTATCTACATGGACAGTGTTGTCTTTATTCCCTGCCATAGCCTCAAGTTCCTTTTGGTTGGCCTCTCCCACACCCACTGCAAAGATGGTGATGCCTTTGTTTCTCAACTTCAAGGCTGTGTCATTGAGCAGACTTCGATCATGAGATTCCCCGTCAGTGATGACGATCAGCATCTGCTTCACGTTTTGATTTATGCGACTACCATGTTCCTCTCTGAACAGGATGTCTGCATGCTCCAGAGCCTTGGCCGTGTAGGTTCTCCCTCCAACATCCCTGCGCCTCCTCAGATTCTCGATGATTGCTGATCTGTTTGTGTATGTGTTCAGGTAGAAAAGGACTTCTGGGTGTTCAGCATATTTGAGAGCTCCAAACTGAACTCGGTCACGGCCAACTTCTGCTTTCTTCACCAAATGGATAGTTAGGTTGATCATGTGCTCCTGCTGGAATTCTACACTGCCTGAATGATCCAACACAAACACGACGTCTAACAGCTTAATCCTTTTACAATCTGAAAGAAGAAGAAAGCCAACATCACAAACTTTCTGCAGTGCATTCTGCACGGCCTGCTGAGAAGGGAAGCAAACTGCTATTTGCCATGAGCCTACTGTGTGTCAGACACTGCATCTCACTTAGTTCTTAGATGTGCCTTTTCTCATTTCACGGAGAAGAAAGCTGAGGCTCAGCGCTTTTGTTTAAACTTTTATTGTGCCATGAAAATTTTTCTATAACTTGCCTACATCATGATTCCAAGGATATTTGTACCCTCACTTGTATGAATCTACAATTGGTGGTCTTTACACCACACAACTCTGCTGTACTACAGCTCATCAGGGCAGGCTTTCAAGTAATTGGCAATGTCAGAAGCTAGTTCAATGCCAATATGATGGTGAGACATACCAATGTTTGCCAATCCAGTCTGCTGTTCTAAGGAGCTCAGGAGCTCATTATATAAGTTGGGGTTTTTATCCCACTCCTATGGCTTCAGCTGACTTTTGACCTTCTGGTAGGCAAACTTCCCCTTGTGTATGATGCATCACCACAGTAATTTCTGTTCCTTCTGACCACCTGAATTGGAACACAGAAAGGAGTTGCCCCAAGCAGGGGGACAACTTACCCTATCACATCTTCCCGGGCTCCAAGCCCTCCTCCACATCGGAAGCCAAGCTACCACTCTGGCTGGGTCTCCAAAGTGGGTGTTCCCTCCCAGCTCTTTTCCTTCCCTCAATAACTTAAGCACATGGTTGTCTCTTTCCACTTTTCACCTGCTCATCTTATCTCTGATCCTCATTTCTAGCAATGACGTTTCAAATTTTCAAGTCTTAGACATTATGGATGAACCCAGTCCACATCTATAAAAAACTGGCAATGGCCCACTAAAATTTGGTGATTAGTCCTGCCAAACACTTATAAGATGACTTAACACATGAGTCAGCTGAAATTTCACCTCATGCTATAGATGAGTCCTCCACAAACGTAACCTTTGTCAAAATGAAGAAATGCCAAGATTTCAAAATTGAGGCTATGATGTTTAAGGATACCTCTCCATGTGACCAAAAGTTTTAGACTCATTACCACATCTCCAGTTAAACTGTTATCAAGGAAGTCTTAGAGCTATCACTTAAAACTTAAGTTTTAAGTTACTGTTAACTTTCTGAAAATTTCACATGCATAATTTTGGAGAATAAAGTCCATCGGAGGTCTTTATATCGGTAAGGGAACAACATCCAGCAAACCTCCTAATGCTTTGTTTTGTTCTCTTGGCCACATCCTGGACACAGATAACGGCACGTGATAGATTTTCAAGTACAAGTGTTTTTAGTCTATGTGAAGATTAATAGCAATTTCTCATTCAAGAGGACTTAAAATTCACAGGCACACACTGAAGTTTGCTCAATACAATTTCAAAAGCACTACAATTTGTGAGATTAAAATGATGATCCCAAGCAATCTTAGCAAAAGGTTGGAAGTTAACATTTTCCAAAGAGATGGTTACACAAATAAATGTAAAATATCTCCTTGATAAAGGTTACAAAGGATAATGTTAAGTGGTGAAACTATGCACTATGTCTTTAAAATGTAAAGGGTTTTGCTGGGTGCAGTGGCTCACACCTGTAGTCCTAACACTCTGGGAGGCCAAGGCAGGTGGATTGCCTGAGCTCATGTGCTGGAGACCAGTCTGAGCCAGAGTGAGACCCTGTCTTTAAAAACAGCCAGGCATTGTGGCAGGTGCCTGTAGTCCCAGCCACTTGAGAGGCTGAGGCAAGAGAATGACTTGAGCCCAAGTATTTGAGGTTGCTGTGATCTATGATGCCACAGCACTTTACCAAGGGCAACAAAGTGAGACTCTGGCTCAAAAAAAAAAAAAAAATGTAAAGGGTTTTTTGGTGTGGGCTGCTTAGGTTCTGAATTTATCTTAACTAAGAGGTAGATGAATTTGTATTTGTAAAATTTACTTCTTAACGATGGTTATAGGTAGCCAAGAAACAATTCTAGGAAGTTATTTGGTGTTAAAAATTGGCTCTGGAAAATCCGGGTGTGAAAGATTTGCAAGTTTAATGCAAAATTTTGAGGCTTTTTGGCAGATACTTAAAGGCACCAAAGTGAGGTTATTTCCTGCCAAAGTAGCTATCAAAATTGTTAATCTAAAATATCCCTAAAGCTCATAGATGTTTTAATATAACAAAGATAAGAACAAAACTTAACACTGAAGTTCAGGGAGAGGCCAAGCCAAGAGTGCAACACACTGTCCCTCACTATGAAATCAACAGCTCACATCCTTCAGTCCTGAAAGAAAACAAGGACACTTACCATGGAGAGCGCACACGCGGAAGATGAGCTTACTTTCTATCTCCTTGAGATCATCAAATTTCTCAACATGAAAAACCAGGCTGCCATCCCCACTGATCTCTTCTAGCTGAGTTCTATTGGCACCGTATACCCCCACAGAGAAGATGGTCACACCTTTGTCCCGAAGACCTTTGGCAGGATCTCTCACATCATCCTGTGCTTCTCCATCCGTGAGGAGGATGAGAAACTTTTTGACCCCCAAACGGGCTCCCTTGGGGTGGGTGAAATATTGAGCTATAAAGGTAAGCGCATGTCCGGTCAAAGTGTTTCTCCCAATGAGAGACATTCCATCTATTGCATCAGAAATTTCTTTCTGTGTAAAGTATTTATTAAGCTGGAACTCTTCCTTTGGATTGTCACTGAACTGAACGACACCAATTTGGGTTTTGTCTGCACCAACGTGAATCTCAGTTAACAGGTTTTTCATGAAGGTTTTCATTTTCTCAAAATTTTCATGTCCTATACTCCCGGAACTGTCCACCAGAAACATGATGTCAGCTTTCATGTCTTCACACCCTGCATGTTATTTAAAAAGAGCAGAAATAAAACAGGTTGGCAGAGTTTACCGAATATGGAGAAACATTATGGCAGAAATAAATGCACTAATGATAAAACGTTGACAATTAACTCAAGCAACTTCTGTCACGTTTGAAAATTTAATTTGCTCCTTTTGCAGAAGCCTGTTGACAAGAATCTTGAAACAGAAATCCACTGAAGATTATCTAAGGAGTTTTAAAGAGGAAATGCAACTTACAAAGTATGTATTCTTTCATTCATGCATGCATGTATCACTCATTTATTCCTTGATAATTCTGCAGGTATATGCAATGCAAACGTAAAGCTAAATGTTAAGGATGCAGTGGTGATCAAAAACATGGAATCCAAGCCAAAGTAATCAATTCCCTGCACTCACAGGACTAATATTCCAGAGTTTTATGTATATTCTTGAAAAACAGAGTTCCCAATAATCTTTGAATAGCATTATTTCCTGCGATAATTTTAAGTGATCTCATAAACACTATAAATCAATATTAGAAATTGGAGTGATGATCACGCAGCATCTGCTCTGAGACTCCTTAGAGATTTTCTAGCCTCTCAAGCTTTGGCTCCTCAGTTTTCCTGCCTCTGTTTACCCCCTTACTACTTGTCCACAGCTTGTCTCCTCCTCCAACCACACCAGGGTTCAGGCCGACTAATTCGACTACACCTGCCTGAAGTGCAAGAGATCCCACTCAGATAGGTCCAGGACCCTCTCCCCTGAAAGGAGCAGAGATACAGCTTACTTCATGCTTCCTAAAACCCCTTAGTTTTCTTGGTGTCAATCCTGGGACACCTTGGGGACCTTTGACTCCAGCATTCTTTCTAAGAAATCCTGAAGACTCAACTCTGTTACTGTCCACAGGGAGAAAAATAAATAAAATCATGATTTAGGATTTTGTTGTTAATGCTACTAATTTCCATATTTATTTTTTGTTTTTGTTTTTTAGTGCCTCAGACAAAATTCAAACACTTCAACTTTAATAAGTTCAAATAAATGAGATTCTCTTCCTTTCCTCATCAGTGAACACCATAACCAATTTCTGCAGTAGCTAACCTTTCCATAGCCCTTACTACATCCAGGCACTCCTCTAAGCCCTCCACATGACATATCATCACTAAGCTTCACTATAAACCTACAAGCAAGAAAACCAAGGCAAATAGCAACTCATTCAAGGTCCTGGGCAAATCTGTGGTAAAGCTGGCCTTTAAACCTTAACTCTCACTCCAGCATCCTTCTTCTTCACCAGTGAATGTGCTTCCTCAGCAGGACACATTTTCATTTGCTAATACTGGGAATCAACATGTACCCCGAACTAGTCCTTGGTTATTGTTCTTAATAATAAGAGAAATAAGGAACAACCAGATGGGAATTTGCAGATTGTTTTCCCCAACTTTTAATACTTAATCTCTAGAACAAAAATGCAAATATGTGCTCCTGTTAAAAATAAGTAAGGGTTACATGTGTGCTGGATATGCATTCAAAATATAAGAATAATAACATTTAGAAACTTCAAACTATAAAAATTCTTTGATGTAGGTATCATCTTCATTTTACAGATGAGGATGTTTCAGGCTCAAGCAGAAAAGTAAGTTGAACTTTAATCTACCTAGAACCAAATTTCATTTTGATTCCACTGCACCCACCCGGCATGTACACACACACACATTGTACTTCCCCTATACTCATCTGAGCACACACATACTGTACTTCTCTTGGACTCACATGCATGCACACATACTGTACTTCCCCTGTACTCACCTGTGCACACACACACTATACTTCCCCTATACTCATCTGAGCACACACGCACTGTATTTCCCCCATACTCACCTGTGCGCATGCACACTGTACTTCCCCTATACTCATCTGAGCACACACACACACTGTACTTCCCCCATACTCACCTGTGCGCATGCACACTGTACTTCCCCTATACTCATCTGAGCACACACACTGTACTTCCCTTGTACTCACCTGTGCGCTTGCACACTGTACTTCCCCTATACTCATCTGAGCACACACACTGTACTTCCCCTGTACTCACCTGAGCACACACACACAATACTTTCCCTGTATTCACCTGTGTGCATGCACACTGTACTTCCCCCATACTCACCTATGTACACACACACTGTACTTCCCCTGTACTCATCTGAGCACAAACACTGTACTTCCCCTGTACTCATCTGAGCACACACACTGTACTTCCCCTGTACTCA